GAAAAGGATGCTTTAGTCTTTTGAATATTAAAGACATAATAATTTGCATTTGCTTAGTCAATGCTTTGTGGTCCCTTATTCAAGTTAATTTGATTGTCTTCCAAGTGTGATCACTTCCAAAATTTCTACAATCTCTAATCAATTTTCTGACACAAGCTTTTAAAATTAAAAAATTAAAAAAACCTGAGTGCTCGAGATATTAAAATGTTCTATTTTAGTCGAAATATAGAGAAAAAAAATAGATAAATGTTTTTAAAAGAAACAAATTAATAGACCATTTAAAAATGTGTTCAGTTTTCATATTATATAAAATTCTACGTGTTGTTTAACATTTCTCATTTGTCCGCTTCTTCCCATCTCTCTCTTTTTAAATAAAGGATTGTTTAAGAGTGATTCTGGAGAGGCCAATAATCACTCCTCTATATAATCACTTTAAGTGATTTTCTGAAGAAGTACGTGAGAGGTGTTTTTTCTCTGAAGTGAAATAAGATACCATGTTTATATACTTTCATACGAATCTTTTTTTCTTTTTTTTTCTCCAATGCATGTGAAATAAGATACCCTGTTTAGATACTTTTTGTATTTATATAGTTGTTGGCAATGCAAAGTGTTAGGGATAGGTAAAATGAACCTTTTAAGTGGCCAATAGGAGGGTTTTAAGTCCTGTCCAAACTTGAACAAGTTTTAATTTATTTATTTTTAAGTCCAGCCAGGGTGTTTGTTTGGGCGTCAAAATCCAAATGTAGTTAAACCTTGTTTGTTGTAATGCCAAAAAGTCTTGAGATTCCACTATTGTCTAATAACAACTATTTATCTGATAACGATGATAAGACACTAAAAATACGAGATAAGGCTCCAACATGTGCAGCCACTAACATCTACCATCCATTTATTTATGCACACCATGCCCTTCAACTACTTCTCTTTCCCTTCTTTGCATCTTAAACAAAATAGAAATTTTCCTTGTCAATTGAGCTCCATTAACACAATTTCCGTGAGCTTGCATTCTATTTCAACTCATCATCACCCTTTTTGAATAAGATATTAATTCATGCTTTATGTACCCAGTATGAACTGTCCTGCTCAAAACTATGGCCATATTCCGAGCTATATACATCTTGTTAACATGTGATCCAGACCGAGTTCATTGGCTAATGGCATGACGTCACCTGGGCTACCTAGAGAGCACTAATCTCACCATTTGATGGAATTGACCCGACCAAACATACTTAGGACCACTTAAGGCGACCAACCACCATCCTCCTCCCAACAGAGGCTTGGTCTGGTCGGTACCGACGTATTCACCCGAAGAGGATACTTGGTCAAACATCACATGAGCACACCCTCCATGTGCCCTGGTTAGAAGCGAACTATAAGCAATTTGAATAAGCTGATCCAACCATGCTTAAGCAACCCTCCTCTGTTCATTGTGGGAGCATGACCAAACACCTTCTTAGCTATTAAGGAACCCCCCTCATTATAACCCCTATAACATCCCTACTTACGACCGTACATTATATTGGGCATTAATGCACTTGGTCTTCTCTAATTTTTTGCACATTAACAGTAAATATAGTGAAAAGTATAGATATAAACAATAGAAACACATATAGTTTAGTTGTATTTAAATAGTTGACAAAATTGTAGCAATGGTCCCTAGACCAAGACCAAACTTTACTTTTCGTCTCTCATATTGTTAAATTGTTACGGTGGTACTTTAATTATGCTTCTACTTTCAAAAATCGTCCTTTCCGTCATCTCAGTCAACTTTTCTGTTAAAAATAATGACATGGCAATGACAAGTCCTACTTGGCATGGGCAACAATGTCTTTTCACACACAAAATTTAAAAAAAAATCAAATCTTTCTCTCTCTAGCCCTGATCCCCCCATCCCCCAATTTCTTCCCCACCAAAATTGAAGATTGCGAGATTGGCAATAGCAATGCTTATTAAAGATAAGGGATCAATGGGTGAGCGTGAGAGTGCTCGACTGATTGGTTGTAGTACGTATTAAGGAGCCGCTCCCACATGCTGCGGCACCAGGTTCGGACCGTAGGGAATCGTAGCATGGGGGGACGTCTAATTCTTTTGCTACTTCTTCCTAGCCCCAAATTTCTTTGCTGAACTGTCATTTTGACCAGATTTTGGGTGGAGGATGGGGGCTAGGGTTCAGGGTTTTAGTGGGTGCTGGGGTTGCGGACTACAGTAAAAGGTGGTTGCAAGATAGGTTTGAGGGTTGGAGCTTGCAGGTGGTAGTCATGAGGGAATGGGGGAAGAAGAAATCGTCGGGGGAAGAGGGAGAGCTCACAGGAGAGAGAGAGAGAGAGAGGAGAGAGAGAGAGAGAGAGAGAGAGAGAGAGAGAGAGAGAGAGAGAGGAGAGAGAGAGAGAGAGAGAGAAATTATGAATTTCCCAATTTGCCCTTAATTTTGACAGAAAATTTAACTAAGTTGACGGAAAGACCAATGATGCAACATGAGATATAATTGAAACATCACCGTAATAATTTAACAATATGAGGGAGGAAAAGTAAAGTTTAGTCTTAGTCTATGGACCATTACTACAATTTTGCCTAAATAGTTTATATCAAAGTAACACTTTTTAAATAAATAATCAATAAAAATAATACATTATGATAAAATATATTTAAAAATAAGAGTATGGTTTGAGTGACACATAAAAAAGCACACATTTTATGGCTGAATTATAAATGTAATTCCATAATTTCAAAAAAAAAAAAAAAAAAAAAAAAAACAAGCACATTTTGTATTTTTTTTTAACCATGTATTGATGCTACAAAGAAAGTTTTATAACTAAAGCTTATAATCCATTAACAAAATCAAATATTAATTCTCATAATCATTAATGTTATAAATAAAATTCATCATCATTACTCTTTTTTTATATGGTGGGCTATATTATTTATTTGTAATATATATATATATATATATTAAAATTACATTGCTTATAGGTGGGTTAAAATTACATTGGTAGTCGTTCCACATGCTCTATACTAGGTTTGCCCTGGTAAGGAATGGTTTTTTTTTTACATGATCTGCACTAGTATAAAATGAGTTATTTATTTTTTTTGTTTTTATTTTATTTTATTTTTTAATGAAGAAAAATTTAGGGGGAGATTGGCTCATACTCTCACCACCAGGGCCAGAGCAAAACCACAATCTTGAGCTATAAGGACTTACGCGTGGCACCCAATTGCTAGCTGCCACTAGTATGAATTTATGTAGGAAATTACAGATCGCACACCAATAAGGACTGCTGGTAGCATGACTCGAACAATTGTGGGGCTATATACAGTATAAAATGAGTTTCATATTATTTAAAACTGCATTTCTATATCGTGCCACATACTCGGTACTAGGATTGCATAAATAAGGAATGAGTTTCATATTCCTTAAAATTTATTTTTGTGTCGCGCCACATGCTCGACACTAGGAGCGCACGGGTAAGGAATGATTTTCATATTCCTTAAAATTCATTTCCAAGTCACGGCACTAAGACCGCACAAATAATGAATGAGTTTTCATATTCCTTAAAATTTATTTCCATGTCACGATACATGCTCGGCACCAAGAACGTGCCAATAAGGAAGACATTTTGTATTTCTTAGAAATGCATTTCCACGTATAGTATGCGTCATTATTTTGCGTTCCGCTATTATATGAGTATTCAAAATCATAAAAATGGATGTTTACATTCTAAACTCATGTTTAGGAAAATTTTGGGTTTCCTAAACTCATTTATTGGTTTTAATTTTATTATAAATTATAATGAGGATCATATCCATATATTTATGTTGTCACAAGTAAAATTCTATGACTTCTAAACATTGAAACCAAAATTCTGAATTTCCATTGATTTTTTAAAACCTGCTTTACCATTATGCTGAATGAAAATGTGGAGGCAGCAAAAGTGAAACCAGAGTTGTGAGTTACAAGAAACAAAAGTGTGTAGAATGAAAATGAAAATTTCTTCTTATCCCTTTATGATTTTTGTTTTTGTTTTTTTTTGGTTGGTATGATTTTGCTTTTTTTATTTTATTTTTCTTACTTGTACCAGATGGCGCTTGCCATAACTCAAAAAGTTGATGCCTGCCCAAGCCCACCCCACCCCATCTTTTTCCCTTTTCTAGACAATTTCTTTTCTTCATGCCTTGGCAACCTAATTTTACTTTTTCCATTCACCTAAAAACTATAAAAATAATAACAACAATAATTACTCCATTTCACTTTTGCCCATATTTCAAGCAAAAAATATGCTTAAAAAAGAAAGAATAAGAAAATCCCCTACCCACTACCAATTTTATTTTATATATTATTTCTCACTCACCGGATTCCAACCAAAACAAGAAATATATATTTTAACATTAAAAAATCATAAAAAATCATTACAAATTCAAAATTTGCTCATTATTTAATATTTTATTCTTTTTTATTTTACATTTCATTTTTTAATCTCAATTCGGACAGTCTTAGGAGAGTTAGGCACCCAATAAGCTGAAAAACAAAAAAACAACCTTTTCTTACTATTATCTGAACAATTTCCATTCAAATCACAAAACCAGAAATCAAAGAGCTCAAAAGATCAAATCTTTTTCTTCACACTCTACGAATAAAAATCAAATTTTTTTCCATTGGAAAAAATTTAAATCAATTTCTTCACCCTTTGAGCTCTGTTTTTCAAGCTAACTTTGCTTTAAATAAAAGAGCTTTGAATAAAACTACTCTTTTGCAGCTAATTTTTCCTTGTAATAGTTTCTCTTGTAGTTTTTGTGTTCAAAGCTCAGGAAGCTTGAGTGTTGTAGCTCTTTTTCTCTTTAATTTTTTTCTCCATCTGGGTTTTCTGTTTCAGGTATAATTTCTGGTTCAGTTTTCAAATTTTGGAACACTGAGCTATTTTTCGAGTGATTTAGATTAGTAAAGTAAAAATGGGTTTTTGTTAAAAAGCTCAAAAGATACAATTTTTGAGGGTTTAAGGTTAACTATGGAGGGTAGGGAAGGAGTGAATAGTAGTGGGGTTACAGTGGTGGCATCAGATGCTCCGTCAGACTACCATGTGGCTCCAAGGTCTGAAAACACAACCCATAACGCCGGATCAACACCTCCGGCGCCGGTTGCTCCGCCACCGGCGGCGGCTCTGCCGGCGGCTGGGTCTTTGCCGATGAAGAAGAAGAGGGGGAGGCCAAGGAAGTACGGACCAGACGGGAGTGTGACCATGGCGCTTTCACCAAAGCCGATATCGTCCTCTGCGCCGCCTCCGGTGATAGATTTCTCGGCGGAGAAGCGCGGGAAAGTGAAGCCGACCAGCTCAGTGAGCAAGACCAAGTATGAGGTGGAGAATTTAGGTAATGAAATAATGGTTATTTGTACATACCCTTTTGAGTTTGAGTGATTTTATGCTTGTTTTTGAGCTAAAGTTGAGATTTTTAGTGTTGGTTTGTGTTGTTTCTGTGTGGGGATTGGGTGAGAGTTACTCATGTAAGGGGTTGGATTTAAGAGGGTATAGCTTTCGGGTTTATATGATTCTCGTTGGGTAGATGTGGGACCTCTGATTGGATACCCTTAGTAAGATCTTGGTGTGTGTGGTTGTAGTTCTGAACAGATGAATTTTTGTGGGTTGGTATGGGAATGATGGAATCTTCTCGTTATGGCTGTCCTTTGGCACCTCTCACCTTTTTGAGGAAGAAAATTATGCCAGGTGCCAACTTTGTACATGCTAAAGTCTGCAAGTGATGGTGAACAGACTTGGACTTGAAACCTGTCTTAAAATGGCTGACAGATCTAAAGAAGGAAATAATTTCCCCTCTTTTATTTATGTCTTGTCCCTGTTAGCAACTTAGTTCTGATTTTATGTTGTATCGTTGGTTTCTCAGAATGAAATTCTAGTTGTCGTTGGTCTTTGTTATTTGAGTCTTAGCATGTATTGCGATCCTTTCTATACCAAGAGTATTGAAGCTTAGGAGTTTCAATTAGCATCTACATTCATAGTTTTGCATTTTATTGGGCCAGTCAACTTTCATAGTATTCTTTGAAAAGATGGATGGTGGAATATTTATTATGACACATATTTGCTAGTATGTGATTCTAGTTTGTCATCTGCTGGCTTCACATGAGCGTCTGCATGAAAATTTATAATCCCAGCTACCAATCATTAGCAGAAATGTGCCATGTGGAATTTGATTAATTGTTGGTTATCAGTTTTAGTAAGATAATTATTCTGTTTTTGTTTGTACGCAGATTTTATCATATTTTTCAAATAAATTTGGGACTGACATTTACTTCCAGTCTTTCAGTGAATTAGTTTCATCCATGCATTATATATCTCTTTCTTTGTTTTCCTTTATCCTTTTGGATAATCTACTAGTTTATTCTTTCACTTATACAAGAATCCTAGGTCCTTACGTTATTGTTTTGGTACACTGGTTATGCTTCTTTACAATTGTCATGCCTTTCTTTTTCTCTCTTTTGGATATATGAAAAATTATTCTGCTTTATACAAGAAGATAGGTTAAGGAAATATTGGCAATTTTGGTTTAGCATAAATGAGTACTCGTCTCAATTTTTATAATAATTACATTTGTTTGGAATAACCAGGAGTAATTAAAATTCTTTTGGGACAGTAGTTATACCACCTACTGTCCAACAGATTTCCGTTGCTAGCTAATCTGTAAACATTACCTAATATTTTCAATCAATGTTGATCAGGCATGTGTATTAGTGTTTTATCTTTTTGTGACTGAAGTAAAGGTGGTAAATTGTAAATATGTAGGGACTTAAGCAATAATTATGGAAATGCATATGCTTTATTTTTTTATGTGAATGGTAATGCATATAATTTCTGTTGGTGAGTGTTTGTATCTGCACTTTTTGTTTATAGATGACCACTTCTGTACAAATTATTTGCAATCACACTAGTGGAGGCTTGGAAAATCCATACTGGAATCTGTGATGGTAGGAAATTAGGAATATGGCTAACTGACAAGTTCTCCACCCTTGTTGATGGCTGCTATGAGCCCTTTAATTCTAGTATAACACCAACAAGCCTCAGATGGAATTTTTTTATGATGATTACTTGCATTTAACGTGATAGTATTATTATTTATAATTTTCTTGGGATTACATAGCATGTAAGCATAATAATTAAAGTTTCCTAATCTGTTTTTGTGGTTGATGATGATGTCATTGTTGTTGTCTGTTGAGATCTGCAGTTGGCCAAGTCTGAGTCAACACTCTTTTTTGTTAAAAACTGAAGATTAATGTTTTTTAACTAATGATGGAAATATTATTTAGGCTCTGCATTACTTTGCCTTATTTTGATTTAGGGAACAAGTACCTTGATGTGAAGGGCATATGTCAAAAAACCTATCACAAAGTGGACAGCTCCGTTTTATGTGGCTAATCCTGCAGAGTTGTTTTTTTTTTTTTTTTTTTTTTTTTTTTTTTTTTTTTTTGTTATGTAGGTTGCATGCTTGCATGCTCGGTGCTAATTTTACACCCCATATCATCACTGTTAATTCGGGCGAGGTAATTAACTCTAATAATTATGTTTATGTCATATCCTGCATTGCGAGAACCTTCATGATGTCAATGGTTGGTCTAAATGAATGGTTATATTGCTTAAATAGCTGGAGATGGCCAATTGTAAGTACTAGGTTCGGCGGCTGTTCTTTGGTTCTTTCACTAATTAATGACTTTTTTACATTTTCAGATCTTTTATGTTACTAGTTTCTTGGTTCTTCACTTCAATGAGTACTTTAAGCACTTAAGTTGACTTTTCCTGTAACAACTGTGGTTGTCTTAGGATGTCATGATGAAGATTATATCATTTTCTCAACAAGGTCCTCGAGCTATATGTGTGCTCTCCGCAAATGGTGTTATATCAAGTGTGACACTTCGTCAGCCTGATTCTTCTGGTGGTACATTGACATATGAGGTGATGCATCTTATCCTCATTTTGATGATATCTTTATTTCCGTCAGTTCAGTAATGTGCCATTTTTGAGGTATTGTTGATATTCTATTAAAAATAAGGGAGTTTCACTAAAACACCCAAAATGGGGGCTGAAATTATAAAAAAACCCAACACCCAAAACACTTTATAAACACACCCAAAACCCATTATTACACACACTCAAAATCCATTTATAAACACACCCAAAAAATATACAATTGTTGATTTTGGGTGTGTTTCTATGTTTAAATAGTACTTGGCTTTTTTTATAAATACATGTCTAGAATTGGGTTTATTTATAAATTTGTATAAAAATAACTCGTTTAGTTTTTTTATATGTATTTTATTTCTGTAATGTTCTGCTATATGCAGCATTATAAGCATAATTAGTTTTCAGAGTTGATGTTTTTTTTACTTATTGCTGATTATATTGAGTAGTATGCTCTTACTCTGATTCCTTTCCATTGTCACTGTTAATGAGTATGCTGAAACTTCCTGAGTTGGTAGCTAGTTTGTTATTAAGAATGCTTAGTCCTTACATTACATGGGCTATGAGTTTTTTTTTCCTCCCCTTTAAGATGGGAGCTTTTTGTTGGCATGCCAGTTATTTACTTATTTTGTCATAATGTGAAAAGTGAGGCTTATTCTATTAGTCAGTTTGTAGTTAAATCCCTTGAGCCTACTGTTCTTTTTTGGGGATAAGTGAACTTTTGTCCATTTATTAGACAAGTAGATTAATGAACACCTTAGCAGCTGTGGTGCTGTTACAGCCCCATAACTAGAACCAGATGAGAGAATCGCAGTTGACCGTAAAGTGTAGTCTAATAGCCAATAGGGACGAGTGGTTATAATGAATGAAGACTAATACTTATGCTATAATCAAAATTTCAGCATTGGAATTGTTAGATTGGAAGAATTATGCCTTAAGTCTTTCCACTCATGATTTGGAAATGTACTAAATTAGTCCATTATCCTTGCATAACTGTTTGGTTCTGGTACATTAGGCCTGTATCATGCATAGCTCTTGTCAAACTTGTTACTGCCTCAATCCACATGGTTTTCCACCTTTTCCCCTTATGCGGCCCTGATATCTGATAATTGATTTAATGATTGTTTTTCATTGAATTTGCCTAAATGAAAGACTGATTCTTTATGTTTGTACATTTAAATTTCCAATATCATATCTTTTGTGGTTATTATATCTTCTTTCGTGAACCACAAGTGGAATTCCCATCTCTTTGCATTCTTGTTCTTGCAGGGGCGTTTTGAGATACTATCTTTATCTGGTTCATTTATGCCCAATGAAACTGGAGGGACAAGAAGCAGATCAGGTGGGATGAGCGTTTCTTTGGCAAGTCCAGATGGGCGTGTTGTAGGTGGTGGTGTAGCTGGTCTGTTAGTAGCTGCAAGTCCTGTGCAGGTATGGCTTTTTTTATTTCCGAATTTCTACTCCCATCCTTGAGTTCAAACTTTTAGGACCAACCTTGGCCATTTGCATCCAAAAGAAACCCAGAAAGTCAGCATGGTTATGAGCTGACTTTTTAATCACAAGAAACCATGATCTGAGATTTCTTCCTTGATTTAAACAGGTTGTAGTAGGCAGTTTTCTGTCAGGAAACCAGCATGAGCAGAAGCCCAAGAAACAGAAACATGATTACATCTCTAATGCAACGCCAACTATGGCTGTTCCTATTTCTAGTGTTGATCCAAAACCAAACTTCTCATCTTCGACTTCCTTCCGTGGAGATAATTGGTCTTCATTGCCATCGGATCCGAAAACCAAGACTGACATTAATGTTTCTTTGCCTGGAGGTGTGATCTGAAAGAGCATGCACTTATAGTTGCAATATGAGGTTTCTGACTGACCACAGTGGCAGATTAAACTCCCAAGTCCCAGCTGTTGGATCTCACTTCTCCTTGTTTGTTGTCTGTAAACTTGTTGACTACTAGTATCGTCATGGGGTTTCCCATTTGAGGTGTTATTTAAATTAGCCGCTTAGGTAGGCTTCTAGTGCTGCTTATGTAGCCCGTTGTGCCCTCTAGAGTAGTTTGATGATGTAATATTAGCACCAGAATCCGTCTTTCTTTGGAATTGATGTAATGTGATTTGGAAGTTGTTTGAGACCTATTCATTGACTCTGTCTCAATTGTTTGCTTCTGTTGGTTCAACTCAGCAATGGTTTTAACTTCTGCAAAATAAAAATGGTGGCAACTCTGTAAAACTCAGCTTTCATCCCTTTGACTTGGTCAGATGAAGGTTGAAGACAGGAATTTAGGTAACCTCTGTGCCCATTTAAAACTTTGGTGCCCGAGAACAAAACACTGACTTTGGATTGTTTTTGCTTTCAAAGATTTCGTGTCTCTTTCATTTGTTAAACGGTCAGTGAGCTCAACTCAAGTCAACTGTCGTCAACATCAAGAATTCATCATTGGCATTGAGATTTATAAAGTGATATCAACAATGAGATTTAACAAATCCGATGAAAAGAAAACTCACGGTCAATTCTATTGAGTGTTGTTATTTTCACTCACCTGCCCTATTTCCTCATCCACCTAATCTTGTAAATTTTAAAGACCAATTTACTCCTTTACAAAATGACTTCTAAGGACTTGGGGGAAAATCATTAAAACCAATTAAAAAAACATAAGATAATGATTATATATAAAAAAACTAAAAAGATTATTAACAAATATCAAAACCCCTTCCTTCACAACACGCACACCCCACCCTTCTCCCTCTTCCTCCACTGCACGGCAGCCACCTCCCCCACTTCCCCAAGCACCCACCTTTGTACTGTACCCAGCACAATCCATTCCCCCTTCGGTTAAGAACCATATGAATATTGCGAAACCGGAGCTTTACCCACTGACAAGAACATAGCTTTCATTGTCAATTCCACTCATATCCTCAACTTTGCCCGGAATCATATCTTCCGTTACCCACCACCATCTTGGTTCTTCATGGTCAACATTGATGAGAATTTCAGCTGCCTCCAAATCACTTCCTAAAATACAAACATGTATTTTAAACAAAGCCCAATGCTTTAATGATTATATGGGCAAAATTAAAACAATTAAAATACCTGTGGCCACCTTGAAAGGAAATTGATTTTAGATTCCTGCTTTAGAGCTATGATTCGCGTCAAGAAGTTGATTGAATCCACATCAGTTTCTCAATGGTGGAGGCGACGGTGGTGTAGAGGCTTGGGTTTTTGGGGATGAATCTGGGCAGTGGGGTGGGGCTAGAGATTGGGGTTGGGGAAGGGGTGCGGATGGGTTCTTGTTTTAAAAAATTTCTTATTTTTTAATTGAGTTTTATAAATTATATGAATATTTTATTACACCTAAACATAAAAACAAGCAAAAATATAGAATTGACTCTTAATATTATAATTAAAGGGTATTTTAGGAATAATGGTGGGTTGAAAGATAGGATTGTGTTTTTTAAAATTTATATGGTGGGTGGAAAAATAGGATAGGTGAGTGGAAATAGCAACACTCATTCTATTTAGTCCGTCTCCTTGGCTCTGTATCACCCAAGGTCTAAAATATCGATAGTATCGGAAATATCGGTAGTCCAAAAATACAGATATTTCGATGGAAATATCGGGATATTATCGATATCGATAAAAATTGAATAAAAATCATGGAAATTGTAAGAAAAACTTGGAAATTTTTATTGAAACTTTGGAGGATGTTTATTCAGTCAATTATCTATTAGTTTATCACAAAAAATTGGAAGGAAATGCATTGCATGATGGGTTTAACTGATTTAAGTTGATTATATAGAGAGCTGACAAACACTGTGAATGTAGAAAATATTTAGTAATTAATGAAAGAAGATTAAACATATCATAATCATTTATATATAATGATTTACTACAATATTATACACTTTATACATAACATGGTAAGATATATGAGTGATTTAGTACCACATAGAGTCCCTATGAGTTTCAAAATTTTCACTATCTTCATCATCTCTATGTGTAGAGAAAGTGTATTGTGAAAGAGTAGTCATCAAATGATAAATCCCCAAAATAGTTTTCCATGTAATTGTTAACATGTCACCCATATGAATCCGAGATTGGTTGACCTTGTCCATAAGCAAAATCATTTGAAGATTAGATCTCAAATTCTTTTCATGAACCGCTCGATTCCTTCCCAAAAGGAAAAGTCAAAGACTCACATTCTCATGTGAAAATTTGATTCTTGCAAAAACAGTTCAAAACAAAACAATATAAATATACATATTAGCATTATTATCACAAAAACATAAACAATATGGTGGTTAAGGCGTTGAATGAGTGAAATAGCAAGGGTTTGAATCCCCTTTGAGTGTGTGCTTTGTGTTTTTTTTTCCCTTTTTTTCATTACATTGATATTTTCGATATTATAGCGATATTTTGACAAAATATTGTTGAAGTATGAGCGAAATTATCGACATCGATATTTTTCGATATTATCGATATTTATACGATATGTGTATGGATACGTTTTGAAATATCCGTAATCCGAAAAGACGATAATGTCCTCGATATTTCGTCAATATTATCGATATTTATACTATGGTATCACCCCAAAGCGTGTGTTTCCATTGCAACAAACAAAAACACACTTCTTAGTCAGCTATACTCCAAGAAAAAAAAAAAATGCCTAGGAAGCCTTTCTTTCTTCTTCCCTTTTTGTTTTTTGTATTTTTTTTTAAGGAGCCTAGAGAAAGCCTCCATTGAAGTTTCCCAGAAATTGTGTTTTATATCCAAACGTAGAAGTAATCAGATATCAACATCTCCAAGTCACTTTCTCAAAGCCATCTCCGCTAATGTTCTGCTCAAATTGGCTTGTCCAATACCAGAGTGTGATATAGTTGATTTACATCCATGAATAATGCTAGGGTTTTCAAAATTCTGACCCATTTCTTGTGAAGATAACCAAAATAATACCATTATTGAGACATTAAAACATATTAAACTAATTATCAGGATGACTTTGGTTCTCCCAACACATACTTCAAATTTGTATTGTCTTGATTAATTTTATGTTTGCCCAAATTACACCCAATTGTGAAATGGGTGGTGAAACTTGGACTTTTGGCTTGTCCTTTTCTAGGTGGGTTCTAAGACAGGGTCAGATTTTAGCTAGATAACTCATTAAAGGAGGCCTCATGTTTTCTGGAAACCCAGAAAATTAGGGGCTAAATTATGCTTGGAAGTTTTCATTACTTAACCATAATATACGCTATCAAACTTAGAGTACACAAATAGCATAACTCTATCAAACTTTCCGGGAAAACCACCTAAAACAAATAGGTTGATGCAAAAAGCTCTAAACTCTATAAATGATAATCCCTTCACAGAGGAGACTTCAGAATTAAACTATCACAATCACACCTGTTTGTTTAAACCAGGGCATGAGGGTTGTTGGGGTGCCAGGAGCTGTCTTTCTCTTACTCTTCATAGCTGCTGCTCTTGTCCTCAGCTCTTTGCTGCAATCAATCTCAAAACGCAGTCTTCATTTCTCATCCAATCCTCTGTTTGTGTTTTCACTATTTAACATCATCATCGTCGCCATAATTGTTGGAAGTCACAGGCCATCTTCCGGGGAAGTTGACGGTATCATACCTTTCCGATATCATCAGTATGAACTAGAAGAAGATGCAGACAATGATGTTGAGGATACAAAGAGTGATAAATACTTGAATCTGGATGGTTATGACAATGGCAGTGACCGTGTTGATGACGAAAGTGAAGATTATAGCTTTGATTCTGATGGTTACAACGAAGATGATGACGACAATGGTAGTGATGACGAGATTGGTTGGGGAGATATGGATGAACACGACAGTAATTTGGAGAAAAGAATCGAAGACTTCATTGATAAGGTTAACAAGGGATGGAAGGAGGAGAGGTTGAGGGATAGTATCTCCAATCCTTTGCAGTTTAGCTACTTGTGAAGAAGTATTACAACGCCTTACAGATGTAGACAGATTACCCTCAAATTTATCAAGAAGATAGATGAAATAATCAAATTTGTAGTTTAACCTCTGTATGTAGCAAAACTCAAGAAAATAATACAAACTTACTTTTCTTTTCCTTTGTCTCTCTCTTTCATTCTCTGCCCTATAATGTGTACCTTTCTAACCTCTGTAGACCATAACTGATTTCTATATTGCTATTCATCTTATAATCCCCTTTTTGGTGGAGAATCTTTGTAAATAATACCGCTTTCACTGCCCCTCATTAGATAGTCAATGGAAAAAGAGAATTCGACCACACAATAAATGAATCTATATATTTTTCTTCTCTAGGCAACCTTAATGGACAAACCTGTGAGTAAAAATGATACACTTTTTTTTAGCAAATAGTTATTTCCAAAAGACTTCATGTGTTTTGCTTCCTTCAAAAGATCAAAGGGACAAAAATTCTATGCAACAATTATGGTTAAGTAGAATACTACATGAACATAAAAATGAACTTCAGAAACATTTTGAACACTACATAGCTACCATCATCCAATTTGCCAGACGAGCAACAGTTACACTAACCAAGACCTGTTCCCGCATCCTTGGGAGGTGCATCAGCCTTAATACGAGGTGGCCTAACTACACGATCAATGAGCCCATACTCAAGAGCCTCCTGTGCATTAAACCGCTTCATCCGACCTAAGTCTTTGTTAATCTGCATATAAACAGTTCAGAATATCAAAATTGAATCCAAGATCAACACAGGCATCTTTTGTTCAGGTGATGTCTAAAGTTAGTCATCATTCAACTTCAGACTAAGAAACAATAACTTATAATGCTTAATCTTGTAAATGGTAATTCATCAAGCTTGTGCATCACTTATTGAAATCGATAAGTAACAACGCTTAATGTGGTCATAAAACCACCTAACCCAAAAGTGATTATAGGTTTTACTTGTCAAACTAGCTAACCTTTTCAACTGGCTGGCCAGTGTTCTTAGCTAACTCGTTATAAAGGTAATCTTTGATTCTGAGAAGTTCATTTGCTTCATTTTGTATGTCATCAGCCTGCCACAAGATTTTGTAAAGATTCGTGAACACCACAAGGACCAAAAATCTACAAACATGAAAGGTATATATCGCAGCTTTTCATGGCATGACAGGAAGCAGTAATACCTGACCACGAGCAGCCCCGGCAGGAGATTGTAGCGCAATCCTTGATAGTGGCATTGCAAATCGATTGCCCTAAGCAAAGCAGAAATTTTAAAAAGGTGGAATTTCAGAGTTCAACCATCTTAGTTAGAAATAGATGAAAGCAACAATCCTTTAAGTCACATCAAACATAAAGATAATGCATCAAATCATTAAGGTACAAGGGTTGCTAAATAGCATGTGTGAAAAAAAGAGCTCGGATAGCAACAAAATGTACATGAAAGCCCATCATCAGTCATTTTCTATAGAAAATTAGATTCCCCCACATCATCACAGCACTATTTAGCTGTATTAACTTCAACACTTCTGAGGCCAAAAAAGATAATAATAATAAACTTGAGTTCACCACTTTCGTGATGAGCATTAATATTAAGGATGTTATCAACTTGGATTCAGTACTATTACCTTTTCTCCAGCTGCAAGAAGAAAGGCTGCTAAATTATAGGCATAGCCCACACAATGGGTGCCAACGGGACTCTTTAAGCTCTGCATAGTATCATAGATAGCCATGCTCGGAGTAAGCTGCAAAATGGTGCAAGTTTCAGATATATGAAACATGGAAAAAGATTATCAAGAAATAAGTATAATCATCATGAAAATCTGATACTCACATCTCCACCAGGACCATTGATATACATATAAAGCCTTTTGGAAGAATCAATAGTGTCAAGGTACAGCATTGTTGCCAAAATCTGATTGCTAAACTCTTCATCTATATTCTGCCCAATGAAGATAACACGTTCTCGGTACTACATTCCCAGAAAACAGAAGATTTTTTAGAGAAACACAATAAAATGGGATTCCACTAAAACTCCATTAAGTTGAAATCCACTCAAAAAAGTTGACTTAAGATGTCAAGTTGATCTACTTTTTAATTTTTTTTTTATCTAGCTACCAAATAGGTTTAGGGAAGATTTGGAATTGAAAATAGAAATCAAATACTAAATGCACAGGATCATTTGAAATATTTGGATAAAAAAAAAATACAAAGAAAAAGGCTTCAACAGAGATGTAAAAGGAAATTGGTTCAAATAATCCGCATGAGTGGACTGCAAGCCTCCTTGCTACCAATACACAAAATAAAGGGACATCCCTAGATGTGTATCGTATCTAATTTTATAACATGTACCTATAACCTATGTCAACAAACTGCATGTCCAATTCATATGAAATTAACTGTAATGACTTACTAGAGCATTCCACAAATCAACCCATTGCCAAGTTCCCTCACCAGGAGTTCTATAGGGCACCTTTGGTGTCCCTATAGGCATCATTCCAATTCGCGCTCGTGATGGTCTTTGGTTACGTGTCCTGAAAAAGTTCAAACATAGAGATGCATCATCCATGGATATAAAAAAAAACAGTTTTCATGCAAAATTGTAACTTATTCTGTTTATTTCAAAAGAATCAAACCAAATTGAGCATATTTATTTTCCTGAAAAATGGTAGAACTAAAGAGTTCAAGAATAGAACAACCAATTATAATTTTTACCATTCAACAGAAACAAGCCAGCCTCAGTTTTTATCTTGTGATTATAGGCTATAATCAGCCACATCTTTGCAATCCCACAACGATACTTCATTGAGGAACAAAGAAACAAGTCTAAGATTCACGATTTTGAGTGTCTTGTTATGGTTAAAACTCCCCTATATAATACAACAAACAAATAAACAATCTCATTGTTGCCGCATAGCCCAAATTCAAACGGAGAAATTTTTAGGAAACCAGTTCACAAGAAACTCATTCAAACACCATAATGAAGTTAAATGAAGCAGGATTGCCTTAGCTGCACTAGGATAATTACATCCTGTTAATACTCTTAAAAAAGTTTAAGTGGGCACCACCAATATATTGGATATAAGCCAACTTTTGGCACAAAACCATCAAAATTCGGAAGGACTAAAGAAATGTATACAAGCCCATAATTTAGTTACCTGGATTGAAGGCTCTTATTAACTTTTCCATAGAACTCAACCGTCAAGTTGGGGTTTTTAGCTCCAAAAGTTCCTTAGTTTTGTTAAAAGAAAAGCAAATCAATTATTGATACGTCGCAGAAAAGAATACCAAAATTATCTAACAAGAGAGGCAGTGAGTACCTAAAGATTGAAGCTTTAACCCTGAATAATGCTTTGCTGCACAACTGTGGAATACAAATTGCTGATTACAATTAAAAACATTCATTTATCTTGTTTTCTTGATTTTAAAAATTAATTAAAGAAGAAAAGAGAGAAAAAAACAGCAAAACCCATGTGGGAGAGAACCTGAGAGGAGGAGCGAGTCTAGCTTGGGGCTGAAAGCTTGGAGTAGAAGTGGTCGGGTGAAAAGAGACTGCCATTTTCGCAAACAGAGATAGGAAGTTGGGAGCTTGGGATAGAGGAAGAAGAAATAGACTGAGGCGGGATCCGCTAGAGCCGGCAACACTTGTTCTTTTTTCTTTTTCTCTTTTTTCTGGGTAGAGGTTGTCTCTTTCCTTTTTCTTTGTTTCGCCATATTTTAAAAAGAAATTAAAAATGTAATTTAATACTAAAAATTGCGGAAATGTGAATAATTTTTTAACAAAAGGCCTCAATGTTATTAGTAGTCGGCCTCTATTTTATACGTGTTGGTACACCGAACCAATGCATAGAGCCACCACTCATGCTAATGAGTGTTGGCACTAAATTCTCGTAGGATTACCCCACTGGAACTATGCAATGCTAGTACCAAATCTCGCATAGGCCCAACCACTAACATTGATATTGTCCCCAACTTAGCCACCTAAATCCAATAAATTTTCTTTTGGTTATTATAGGTGTGGGGTTTTATTCCAAAGGCCTTGGTGTTATTAGCAATAGCACTCCTATATTTAAGGTGTAAATTATTATTATACTAGCCCGATGTGGGACTTTATAAATAAGAATAATGCGTAACTTTGACAACAATGGCATATCTAGCTCAGTTGGCAGCGGGCAAGCCCTTTATCGTTTCGGTCGTCCGTTCGAGCACCACGGTTGGCGACAATGAATACAAATTTTTGAGAATCTATTCTTCTTCGTTTTCTTTTTTTTTTCCAGAGCCCAAGTTGATATCTATCAAAAATAAAATAGAAATTCCATTTTCCATAAGAATAACCAGAGTCATCAAGGAGCACAACAGTAGCAGACAAAATCTTAATTTGGTGGTTTAGAATTAAATCATCCAATCTCATTAGATTCACAAGCAAGCAAAGGAAAAGAACCCATTATCCTTGCACAACCAGTTTAGAACGTCAACCAATTTTTTTCAAAAAGCTCTGTGGCTCACTTCAATGTGTTCAAATAAGAGCTACAGTTGACAAAGAGCTAGAAGAGAGATTCGATACATGGACACAAAAAAACCAAGATACAAATACAATGTGACCATTTTGGTCTCTAAAAGGATTCAAGTAGGCTTCTCATAAGAATTCTGATCTCTAAATTCGGAAATGGCACTTCTGATCATTCCAGCTGCATGGGGCTGCACAAACAGGTGAGTACTATCCAAGACATGTATTATGAATTGCTGTGAAGGGGGCAGTGTATTGTTGTAATTGATGATGAATTGCGCCATAGGTATGTCGCTGCACAAGAGAGTTACAAATGGTTGGTTTAAGAAACAAAGAGAGCTTGATGAGGGAAGAAGAAGCAACTCAAACTACTCTTTTAGGAACTGCTGGATCAAGTCAACAGGCAATGAATGCCTGGATAAATCAAAATCTATTGGTGGATTGCTCTTTGTATCATAGAATTTACACAAGCCAGAAGCTTCATAATCAAGGCCTCCATTGGAGCTACCAGTACAAAAAAGGTCAAGACTAACACCCAAAAGAGAAAAGCTGTCAAACCAAATGACAATCAGCAATACAAAATGTTAAAACTTCTCATATTTTCATTATTACGTTTGGACATAGTTTTATAATATCTGAAGGAGAGGAGGAACCGCAACCAAATATCCTCGAAACCCATGCTTGTTTTCGTAAAATTAAGAAATACACACAACAGAAAGTTCATACAATTATCGTACCAAGAGATGAACAATCCTTTAGTGGCGTTCACCATCTCGTATCAAAACCCTCAAAAATTCTGAACTGCAACAACAGCAACAAAAACCAAAAGATGAGACCAAAATACTTCGATTATAATGATCCTAAACCTTAGCGTACAAAGGAAGAGAGAGATGATATGCTAAGCCAAAGCTTAATGGTATAACTTCTAGTCCTAAGCATCACAAGAAAGAATTAATCAAAGCAATGAAAATAGTTCCATTATATAACAAAGCAGTCTCTGTTAAACCATATACATATTTAGCCAGTGTTTGATGGATTCAGTGCCTAAACTAATTCTTTTACGCAAATATAATATAAGATGGATTCACCATCTTGCATTTGTTACAACAAGTAAGAAATAATCTTAGCCTCTCACATTCTTTCATAGTTAGTAAAATACGGAACGGGAAAAATATGAATAAAATACGTACATGTTTTATTCAGAAAATTTTTGGCAAGTTACAACTGAAAAATCGGACAATATATAATATTTTAATATATGTTATTTTTATTCAATAGATGAAAGCAACAATCCTTTAAAGTCACATCGAACATGAAGATAATGCATCAAATCATTAATGTACAGGGGTTGCTAAATAGCATGTGTGAAAAGAGCTCAGATAGCAACAAAATGGACATGAAAGACCATCATCAGTCATTTTCTACAGAAAATTAGATTCCCCCACATTATACCACATCATCACAGCACTATTTAGCTGTATTAACTTCTGAGGCAAAGAGAAAAAAACTTGAGTTCATCACCTTCGTGATGAGCATTAGTACTAATCAACTCAGTACTATTACCTTTTCTCCAGCTGCAAGAAGAAAGGCTGCTAAATTAAAGGCATAGCCCACACAATGGGTGCCAAAGGGACTCTATAAGCTCTGAATAGTATCAAAGATAGCCATGCTCGGAGTAAGCTGCAAAATGGTGCAAGTTTCAGATATATGGAACATGGAAAAAAAATTATCAAGAAAGAAGTATAATCATCATGAAAATCTGATAGCTCACATCTCCACCAGGACCACTGATATACATATAAAGCCTTTTGGAAGAATCAATAGTATCACGGTACAGCATTTGATGCAGGATGCATAGGACCTAAATTTATTTAGTTTCCTAATGTATTTGTTTGTTTTCTAGATTCTCTAGTTTTCCAATTACTAGTAGGATTTCTACTTTTCCAGATTTCCATATTTCTAGTTTTAAGTTTCCTATTTTATTTGGGTTAGGATTTCTGTTTAAGCCGGGGATTTTTATCCTATTATTTTTAGGTTTTAGTTTGCTATAAATAACCCCATGTAGTTCTTTAAAATTCAGATTTGAATGTTGAGTAAACCTTTTCCTAGAACTCTCTGATTTCGTCCCTTCGGTCTATATTTTCTTCTCCTCGATCTCCGATATTCATCTTTGTTCTACTGTTTCTGCCCTTTATCTCGTCTTTTCGATCTATATTTCTTCTCCTCAATCTCTTATATTCTTCTCTGTTCGATTGTTTAAGTGCTTGATCTAATACCTACGGGCTGTACTACATCAGCATTGTTGCCAAAATCTGATTGCCGAACTCTTCCTCTATATTCTGCCAAATGAAGATAACACGTTCCTGGTACTACATTTTCAGAAAACAGAAGATTTCTTAGAGAAACACAATCAAAATGGGATTCCACTAAAACTCCATTAAGTTGAAATCCACACAAAAAAGTTGACTTAAGTTGTCAATTTGATCTACATTTATTTTTTATTTTGTATCTAGCTACCAAGATAGGTTTAGAGAAGATTTTGAAGTGACAATAGAAATCAAATACTAAATGCACAGGATCATTTGAAATATTTGGATAAAAAATACAAAGAAAAAAGCTTCAAGAGAGATGTAAAAGGAAATTTGTTCAAATAATCAGCATGAGTGGACTGCAAGCCTCCTTGCTGGTGATATACAAAATAATGGGCCATCCCTAAATGTCTTTCATATCTAATTTTATAACATGTACCTATAACCTTCTAGGTCAACAAACTGTATGTCCAATTCATATGAAATTAACTGTAATGAATTACTAGAGCATTCCACAAGTCTCTCAGATAAAAAAAGAAGTTATCATGCTAATGTAACTTATTCTGTTTATTTCAAAAGAATCAAACCAAATTGAGCATATTTATTTTCCTGAAAAATGGTAGACTAAAGAGGGCTTCATACCAAAGAAGGGAAGAATATAACAAATTAGATGGCATGTCAAGAATAGAACAAGCAATTATAATTTTTACCATACAACAGAAACAAGCCAACCTCAGTTTTTATTTTGTGATTATAGGCTATAATCAGCCACATCCTTGCAGTCTCTCAATGATACTTCATTGAGGAACAAAGAAACAAGTCTAAGATGATACAACAAACAAATAAACAATCTCATTATATTAGATAATACAACAAACAAATAAACAATCTCATTGTTGCCGCATTGCCCAAAATTCAAACAGAGAAATTTTTAGGAAACCAGTACACAAGAACCTCATTTAAACACCATATTGGAGTTAGCTGCACTAGGATATTTACAACCAATATATTGGATATACGCTAACGTTTGGCACAAAACCATCAAAATTCGGAAGGATTAAACAAATGTATACAAGCCCATAATTTAGTTATCTGGATTGAAGGCTCTTATTAACTTTGCCGTAGAACTCAACCGTCAAGTTGGGGTTTTTAGCTCCAAAAGTTCCTTTGTTTTAGATAAATAAAAAAAAAAAAACAAAAAATAAATTATAATGAAATAGTCGCAGAAAAGAAGACCAAAATTATCTAACAAGCGAGGCAGTGAGTACCTAAATATTGAAGCTTTAAACCATGCGGGAGAGAACCTGAGAGGAAGAGCGAGTCTAGATTGGGGCTGAAAGCTTGGAGTAGAAGTGGTCGGGTGAAAAGAGACTGCCACTTTCACAAACAGAGATAGGAAGTTGGGAGCCTGGGAAAGAGGAAGAAGAAATAGACTGAGGCGGGATCCGCTTGAGCCGGCAACACTTGGTCTCTTTCTTTTTTTAGTGTTGCTAAACGAACCTAAAATTAACTAAGTATATCCTATAATCTAAGTACATTCTAATATTTAAATCAAAATATAAAATTAACTAAGTACACCTTATTTAATTACCAAAAATATCATCGGTACACCCTATAATATACCAATTCATCTCTCCAGTTTAAGTTTTTTCACTGCCCCATTTGCTTTTTCTTGGCCTCCCTCTATATTGAAAGCTGACTGAACCTAATGCAAAACATGTATCAGTGTTCACAATTTGAAGATTCTTCTGCTTTTGAATTGCTGGCAATGCCAGGAAAATATCTAAACAGTAACTATAGATCGACATTAATTCCCCAATTAAAAAGCTTCATCAGTATGAAACAGTCAAAAGATCTTTCAAGTGAATCAAGTCCACTACCCAGAAATCCAGCACTGAAAATGAACAAGTTGAATGGACAAATCCTGAGCATGCATTTAGTAACCTGCTACACAAAAAATGAACAAAAATCCAGAACTCCCTTGAAGCCATGACAACCCAAGAACACCCAGCATATATTTAAAAAAAAAAAAAAAAAAAAAAAAAAAAAAAAAAAAAAAAAAAAAAAACAAATTAATCCATTCCCTCATTCTGATCTAAACTTGAAGTTGTATTGGAAATACAGAAGGGACCCTATAAACTTGGAAACTATCCTAAAGAAGATTCCTGATGATTTCCAAAGAGATGTAATAAATTGATTTCCGGTGATTTTTAATAACTAATGATTTGGTAAATCATAGCTTTCGAAGAATACAAAAAGTTTATGAAATAGATGGTTCTAGTCATTTGATTAGGATTGAATATAGTGAATACGGTAAGGTGTACTTAATAAAATTACATTAGTTTCACAATTCAATATACCCTTTTTGGTCATTTTCTATTAGGATAAATTTGTAATTCAATAAATAGTTTGGCAATATGGTGTACTCAGTTAATTTTAGGATTCGTTTAGCAACACTCTTCTTTTTTCTTTGTTTCGCCAGATTTTAAAAAGAAATTAAAAATATAATTTAATACGAAAAGATGCAAATATGCGAATAAATTTTGTACAAAAGGCCTCGGTGCTGTTAGTAGTGGGCCTCTATTTTATGCGTGTTGGTACACCAAACCAATGCATAGGGCCACCACTCACACTAATGCGTGTTGGTACCTAACTCTCGTAGGATTACCCCACCGGCACTATGCAATGCTAGTACTAAATCCCGCATTGATCCACCACTAGCACCGATATTGTCCCCAACTTAGCCACCTAAATCCAATAGATTTCCTTTTGGTTATTATAGGTGTGGGGTTTTATCCCAAAGGCCTTGGTGTTATTATCAATAGCACCCCTATATTTAAGGTGTAAATTACTATTATAATAGCCCGATGTGGGACTCTATAAATAAGAATAATGCGTAATTTAGGCAACAACAGCACGTCTAGCACAGTTGGCAGACCGCAAGGCCTTTATAGTTAAGGTCGTCTGTTCGAGAACCACGGTTGGCGACACAACGGATATAAATGTTTTAGAATCTTTTCTTCCGTTCTTCTTCGTTTCTTTTTTCTTCATAAACATGTAATCTATCAAAAATAAAATAGAAATTGCATTTTCCATTATAATAACCAGAGTCATCAAGGAGCACAACAATAGCAGACAAAATCTTAATTTGGTGGTTTAGAATTAAATCATCCAATCTCATTAGATTCACAAGCAATTGCAAAGGAAAGGAACCCATTATCCTTGCACAACCAGTTTAGAAGCAAATGTGTATGTGTGACTGAATAAATTGGAACAACGTCAACCAATTTTGTTCAAAAAGCTCCGTGGCTCACTTCAATGTGTTCAAATAAGAGCTACAGGTGACAAAGAGCTGGAAGGGAGATTTGATACATGGACACAATAAACCAAGATACAAATACAATGTGACCAATTTGATCCCTAAATCTAAAGGATTCAAGTAGGCTTCTCATAAGAATTCTGATCTCTAAATTCGGAAATGGCGCATCTTATCATTTCAGCTGCATGGGGCTGCACAAACAGGTGAGTACTATCCAAGACATGTATTATGAATTGCTGTGAAGGGGGCAGTGTATTGTTGTAATTGATGATGAATTGCGCCATAGGTATGTCGCTGCACAAGAGAATTACAAATGGTTGGTTTCGGAAACAAAGAGAGCTTGACGGGGGAAAAAGAAGCAACTCAAACTACTCTTTTTAGGAACTGCTGGATCAAGTCAACAGGCAATGAATGCCTGGATAAATCAAAATCTATTTGGTGGATTGCTCTTTGTATCATAGAATTTACACAAGCACTTTTAACTCAAAAACATTATTGTCAATCTGTGATGACCATACCCCCCATTGGAGCTACCAGTACAAAAAAAAGGTCAAGACTAACACGCAGAAGAGAAAAGCTGTCAAACCAAATGACAATCAGCAATACAAAATGTCAAACTTCTCATATTTTCATTATTATGTTTTGACAAGGTTTTATAATATCTGAAGGAGAGGAGGAACCGCAACCAAATATCCTCGAAACCCATGCTTGTTTTCGTAAAATTAAGGAATGCACAACAGAAAGTTCATACAATTATCTTACCAAGAGACGAACAATCCTTTAGTGGCGTTCACCATCTCGTATCAAAACCCTCAAAAATTCTGAACTGCAACAAAAGCAACAAAAACCAAGAGATGAGACCAAGATACTTCGATTATAATGATCCTAAACCTTAGCATACAAAGGAAGAGAGAGACGATATGCTTAAGCCAAAGCTTAATGGTATAAATTCTAGTCATAAGCGTCACAAGAAAGAATTAATCAAAGCAATGAAAATAGTTCCATTACATGACATAGCAGTCTCTGTTAAACCCTATACATATTTAGTCAGTGTTTGATGGATTCAGTGCCTAAACTAATTCTTTTACGCAAATATAATATCATAGAGATTATGGCGAAAACACAAAAAATTGTTATGAACAGCATATGAAACAAAATAAACCCAAATTAGATCAAACCCATTAACCCGTTCAGTATAAGGAACAAACACAATTACACGCCCAGAAAAACAACGATTCCAAGCTCTTTCTGCAAACCCAGAAGTCCCAAAAGAAGCAAAAAAGTTAAATAAAAATATTTAAACCAAATAGATGGTAGAAACAAAAGGCTAATCATGGAGAAGCAACGAACAATATCAAATTTTGAACTTGAAGATGTTAACATTTGCATACATATCTCTGCTGCAGAGGTCGGTGGAGCTTTTGTCTGTCTATCCCCAGGGGTTTCGGTTGGGGTCACCCTCTCAAAGTGTATTTAGCGTAGTCTCTCTTCTATTTTATTCAATTTCTTTTGTTTATTAATAAATAATTTATTTTATTTCTTTTTAAAAGGGTTTTTTTTTAATTCCAGATAATTTTATTTGCATTCATACATCTACTGTTGACCATTAGAATAAATATAACATTGTCACACTGATTATGAATTACATATATAATTAAGCAAAAAATTGTCACAAAAAACTAAGAAAAATAAGATTAAGAGTTGAAAACCCAACTGATTAAACATGTAAATTAGTCCATGCGTAAGTCCTTCCAATTCAAGATTGTGGGTTTGCCTTGGCGCTAGTGGTGAGAGTAACCAATCTTACCCTAAACTTTTTCTAAAATAAAAAAAAACGTACATCTACTTCTAGACCATCAAACTCATCCAGTGAACAAAAGTATAACAATTAATATGAGAAATGAAACAATATAAAAGTAGCAATCACCACTCCGAAGGATTGCAGCTAAGCCTTCATTACATAATTTAAATCTTAATTACGGGTTTTTATTTTTATGTAAATTGTGATACAAAATAAAGGAAAGCAGCTATGAACAATGATCTAGCTAAGTAAATCAAATTACGGGGAATATTAAACGAAATAAATCAAATAATATTCATAAGTTTCCTCAGCTTATACCAAAATAAAAATAAAAATCTTTACAAATCAACCAAATCTGACCTTAGATTGGAGCTAAGAACCCGGAGATCGCAGCGTTTAGTGGGGTGTAAGGGTTTTGAGCCTCCATTTTATGCGTATTGGTACACCGAACCAATGCATAGAGCCACCATTCACACTAATGCGTGTTGGTACTGAACCATCATAGGATTACCCTATTGGCACTATGCAATGCTAGTACCAAATCCCACATAAGTTCACCCACTATGACCAATATTGTCCCCAACTTAACCACCTAAATCCAATAGATTTCTTTTTGGTTATTATAGGTGTGGGATTTTATTCTAAAGGCCTTGGTGCTATTATCAATGAAACCTCTATATTTAAAGTGTAAATTATTATTATACTTTCCCGACGTGGGACTCTATAAAAAAAAATAACCGGTACTTAATCAACAGCAGCCAGTCTAGCTCACTTGGTAGCGCGCGATGGCCTTAACTTTGTTGCCGTTGATTCGAATCCCATGGTGTGCGATTACTCTAAATTTATTAAAATCCTAGCCACGACAATTGCCCAGGCTTCCCTATTACAACTTCAAATTATTTGTTTCTTTCTTCTTCTTCTTCTTCTTCTTTTTTTCCAGACCCAAGTTGATAATGATGTAATCTATCAAAACTAAAATAGAAACTGCATCCAACCAGAGTCATCAAGGAGCACAACTGTGGCAGACAAAATTTTAATTTGGTGGTTTAAAATTTACACATCAAATTATAAAACTCAAAAAATCGTGTATGAACTTGAAGAATTATCAATCATCCCCTCCTTCTCAATCGCCAATCATGTCATAACCATGGCTGCTAATGAGGCCTCGGTGAATGCAAGCCATGCCTGTTTGGTCAGTGTAGCCACATCAACCAGTGCCATGGCTAAATTATAGAAATTGAGGTTTATTTCTAAAAGTGAATTTGATCTTACTTACACATTTATAGAAAATGCTGTGCAATCGGAAGCTTATATCATGATTATGTGGATTAATAAAGAAAACAGAAGTTAAGCTAGACTAAAAAAACCAAAGGGAGCTTGCAATGCATGCAGGTATCCATTGTTCATTAACACCGAATTATATTTGAGACAGCAAAATGTCTGAATACTGAATCACGTAATATTATCCCACGAGTTTAGATTTGCTTGAACCTGCCAATCTATGAAAACACAACCCTAAATCCCTCAAACTACAGCTATAACAGAAGTTTGAAAAAATGTCACAGAAATATACCGACGAATTTACCATCCCACACAATCATACAACCCTTGACCCATCTCCCACAAACTACATCAGCCATAATTTGGTGGCAATAATCTTGATAAGGAGCAGCAATTAGTGGCAACCATTCAGACAATCCGTTAAGGCAGCCGTTGTCCCTCATGATTCATGGTCTTCCAATGCAGTTAGAATCATCCTACAAAAAATGTGTGAAAAGATAATGCAACTAAGCAGTATTGAACATACAGAAAAAGAACAGTTGAAAGAAGAAGTGCAACTTTCTGAGCCGCGTACCAGAATATCGAGAGAAACAGGAGGAAAACAAGATAGAAGAGTTTGAAAAGCCGGATCTTCTTTTCTTTGTGAAGCATATTGAATATCTCAGTAACATCTACCAGGTGCTGCTTTCTCATATACCTAATCAAAAAATGAGGATGCTTAGTCAGAACATAAAACTAAACAGATAGCACATTCAGTAGCTCACAACACCAAAGAGATGATCACTGCATTAAAGCATAAATTCGTCTAGAAATCACAGCTATATCATAAAATTATCCATGGCACTTGGGTAAGTATCATCAGCCAGCATGTGTGGAACCTACATTTCCATGTACATCCAAAAATCAGTGACAGTGTCTGAAGCCTTGAAGAAGCGTTCTAATACTTATCTAAATGTTGTGTTTACATGTCTACAAGTCGGAACAAAACTACATGAGGGCTCAAACATTAATTCTTCGGCAGAGATGGTAATTGTAAAGAATTTTAAAATTATGATAGAGCTGTCCTTCCCATCCCCAATCCTCCTCCCTCCTTTCTTTTCTTCTCTCTTCCCCAACTTAACTCTAGATTCTTAGTGTTTATCTTGTCTTTCATCTCAAGAATCACTTTTCCCTATTTGTTTGATTTCTTGTCTATTCTTATTTTTGCATACGTCTTTATTTTGGTAATCCTAGCTTCATCTTTTTCTTCTCTTTACTTCAAGGTTCAAAGTAATCATAATGCATTGCATCAGCATTATATGGAATGTAAGAGAACTTACAGTTTCACATTATAGTAGAGGTATGGACCACAAAACAGTGACATGCACCAATGCCCTGTTAGAAGAAAGAAGGCACCTAGAACTCCTTCTGCAATATACTCAGGCAGAATCACTCTGTTTATCCGGTTTGAAGAGTCATAAGGGTTGATATAATCAAACTCTAGATCCGCTAGACACATCAGCTGCAACAATTGAAATGGTAAATTTCATATCCTTTAAAAGTATAACTGTAGAAATAATATTATGCCAATCAGATACTATAGGATTATACATAATAGTTATATCTATGCCTTAGCATTTTTAAAGAGACATCTACGCCCTAACATACTCTTAACACCAGCCATTTCAACATTAAAACAGTTGCTCTTACTGCCATTAGCATTGCCATCACAGATACAAGATGACTGGTGCTTAAGCACCTCAACAAGCTACAATAATTGGGTATGGGGTTTGCCAAACCAAGTCTAACAAAACTGAAGAAAAATAAAGGTAACACCAGAAAATCCTAACTTGGTGCTACCAAGGTAACGGGTAACAACCACTTTTCAGGTTTCATGTGGAAAAAAGAATATATAACTGAATCAAATATGTCTCCATTTTCTCTTGATCGAAAATAGAAACTATGAGGCAAATTTTTCTGATATTTCATTTGTTTGTAGGCTCCAGGAAATTCTTCCAGCAGAACTCCTTCATGATGGTACTTTGGTTTCGGCTTCAACTTAACATTGGGATTGGAAGACAATTCCAATCGCCACGAAAAAGGACTAAATAAACATCCATGCGACTCGAAAAACTCCATTCTAGAAAACATAAGAAAGAAAAATAAACTAAGGGATAGGCTTACTGAACTCCCATTATGAAAGAATAACAAAGTAAGCGAACAAGAAAGAAAAAGAAAGGATTTTAAGAATCTACCAAATGTAAGTAGCCATAAGAGAGATTAGAAGCCCATAGAAGGAACAAATGCATTTGGATCATATCTAGTTAAGCTAAGCTATAAGCCATAGGAATCCACGATTGAACTTTAAATTTGTAAAGAAACCCATATGTTATATTACAAAATGCGCACACACACAAAACTTACTCAAAAGGGAAAATGCATTTTCATTAAATCTATGAGCTTCCAAGTTGCATTAAGTTTTCTATTAGCATTTGCCAGTAATGTACCTAATTCTTTTATTCTTGTATCACCAACATAGAAATTATTGTCAAAACACACACACACACAGTGACACATAAATAGACCCTTATAAACTAAAAGTGCCATTTTGGTGAGCAAGAAATGAGCTTTTTTTGTTTGTTTGATTGCTCTCTTTTAAGCCATAAAATTGAAATTGAAATTGAAAAGGAGCTCATTATAATGCATGTCAAATTGAATAATAATTTTAAAAAAAGTTAAATAACAATGAAAAGGGGTTTTAGGGATTGACCTGGAAAACAACCAGGGCAAGTAAGGCTATGAGGAATAAGAAGGAGATGAGCCAAACGTAGAGATCTTCCATGCTCTTCCTCCTCTTCCTCTCACACTACTGACTTAATCTCTCTCTCTCTTCTGTGTGTGTGTGTGTTAGATTCTACGTGCGCAGATAGCAGCCCCCTGAATGAGATGTGCTAACAGAGGTGCGCGAGCGCAGTTCGCGCGGCTGGGTCTTTAGCGTTTTGCTGCGGATACACGGAAAGGATCGGAGCAGTTTCCCTTTCGTTTTTTTTTGTTTTTTGGGTGACAGTCGGAGGAGAATCGAGAATGGTAGTCAAGTCTTTCAAGCCAACGCGGTGCCCCGAGGATGAATGATTAATGCCATTTTGATTTTTTTTCACCTCTTTTTTTTTTCTTAATAAACCAAAGAACGATAATCTCCATTTGGGGCTCGTGGGCCAGGTTTAGGTGGCACTATATGAGTGGGTCTATATGGGATATTTATTTAATTCATTAATAATATTTGACTTTTTATCACAAAACGACCTTGACGTTTGTGAAATTATCAGATTGCATTCTTAAAGTTTTTTTGTATCACTCATAGTCCCTAACATTAATATAAGTACTCTTAAATAGTTCACCTGTCAAAAAAACGATTAAATTCAAGGATATAATCGTCAAATTAATCCAAAATTATTTTTTATAATTCCCTTTGTCAAATACAACTTTGCATCGCATCCGCATCGTACTGATTTTCTCTCCCTGGGATGCTCCACGTTGGCCTTTTTTCTTGGTTAATTAAATCCTGACCGATAACAAACAAAATTGCTGTAGTATTCAAAAGCATCATCATCAGTTTAAAAATTTGACCAACATAAGGAGTGAAGACAGCTTCTGATGATGACGAAGATGGAGTTGTCCCACTCTTTACATGCTGAGAACTTACTGAGCCCAGATCGTCTCCTTCATACTGAATGTAACACTTCCAATCTCCACACAGGCACTGTTGGCGTCAAATCCATATGTTATTTGATTGCTTCATTGCCATTTTTTAGGAAACACAAGAAGTGTTCCAGCTTATGTAGCCTTCAGCCAAACAAACAGCAAAAGAAAAAAAAAACTTTTAATCAAATATTTGTTGCAATTCAGACTGTCACATACAAGAAAAAAAGAGGCAAAATATGTCCTTATAATGCATTACGCAGTTCAAGTCCGAAAAAAGCAGATAAAAAAATAAAAGAGAAAAGGTGAAATAGTTCCTTAAACTCCAATATGAAGTTGGAAAAAAAAAAGAAAAAAAAAGAGGGAATGATCAAAATATATAGTTTAGCTGAAGATAGTGAAAGCTAAATCAATGAAGAAAAAAATAAAATTTGTCATGGACTAACAATGAATAACTACTCCACAAAAGAGACATGTCACGGGCTACAATTTAGGAAGGAAATGAGAAAAATAAAAGAAACCCAGCAACAAGCATGAATTCAAATTGTTTTGTACCCCTAAAAATTTGATATTTCAAAAAGGAAAAAAAAAGCTCAAAACTATACGTAGTTATTAGAAAACCGAAACTTACCAGTAAAAGTGGCTCTCAAATGGTTCAAATTATTCTGAGCAAGACAATGTGGTGTTGCAGAGCAGCTACAGCCGGAAGTTCAAAAAGAAGTGGCTCTCAAATGGTTCAAATTATTCTGAGCAAGACAATGTGGTGTTGCAGAGCAGCTACAGCCGGAAGTTCAAAAAGATGAGAGAGAGAGAGAGAGAGAGAGAGGAAACATAAAAGAAAAAGGGGATTGAGAAAAATTATATATATATATATTCTAATTTTGAAGTGATTTGACTATTATATCCTTGAATTTAACAGTTTTTTTGACAGATGGACTATTTAAGAGCACCTATAATAACATTAGGGACCATAAATGATACAAAAAAACTTTAAGAATGCAATTTGATAGTTTCGCAAATATCAGAGACATTTTGTGATAAAAAGCCATAATATTTTCTTATTGATTTAATTAATAATATTGTCAAACTACGTGGCACCATATGAGTGGATCTACGTAGAATATTTATTGCCACATTAATGGTTTAACATACTTGCTAACAGCAGGAGTGATGGTATATATGAAAGTTGTAGGAAAATCAACTTTGTATATGCGATTAAGATGATAAAAACTTTTTTTTATTAAAAGCTAAAATTCGATAAACTTCAGACTTGCGAGCCAGGCTTTTATGGGCTCAAACAGGCTAGGTTGGGCCTATAATCTAGGTCGGACTTTAAACACCCTAATTCAAGCCTAGCCCACTAACTAACATGCTGTATCATGATTTTTATTAATCGGTCGGGTGGGCCCTCAACGGCCCGTGGGTCCGTGTGCCAAATGACAACCCCTTATTTCACATATTTTAAGAAAAAAATAAATAAGTAAATACTAGCATTGGACCAAAGAAAGAAAGAAAAAAAAATACATAAGCCCAACATCAAATCAAACATTAGCATAGTGAGATCCACCTAACAAAATTAAAAAGCCCATGAAGTCTGCCGAAGGCTATCCCAGTCTAATGCATGTAAGACCGAACATTCAAAATCCAAACTTTTTATAATTTAATGGAGGAGTGAGAATTCGAATGGATGACCTATTCTAATATTGAGAAAGAAAAAAGAAAGTATAACTGGAGATCAAACATCATGACAAACTTTGGCCTCGTTTGGTGGCTTTGGTTTGGACTGAATTGGAATCAAATCCAAACAAGTCTTTATGGGCCATACCCGTTTATATTAGACTTATAAGACACAATATGTTGGATTGTTGTCCAATGTTAACATGCCAAACAACAACTTATATACTTGTCAAATTCAATTGAAATAGTCCAATCTAGTATGACCCATTAGACGTCGTCACAAATTTTGATGCTTGCTAAGAGTAGATTAGGAATAGACTAATAACCATTTAGAAATACTCTCTTTCCAATGTTAGAAGAGTATGAAGTGTTAAGGAGGACCCATATGTGATATCATGGCAATATGTTAACCAAACGGCTTGTTAAAAAAAATTCCACATCCAAACCACAACTTTTCACTTGAGAGAAAACTTGTTATAGAAACATGCATGATTGATGAAATACATCATGAAAAGGCAACATCAATTTACAGCAAGAAATCCATAAACTTTGCCCAAGGAAATGGAGAATTCCTGGTTGCCTTCGTTGCCTCCCCGCAGCAATTAGAATGATTGGCAGAGGGCTTTGACTTTGAGCAGCACAAAAAGAAATTCCTAGACCCCAACTTTATCAACTTCTCATCTCCCTTCAGACCTGCACACACATTAAAAAGTATTTAATTACAGGCCTTGAATACAACAACCATTCATAGCACGCCACGTCATAGCAACCAAAGTGCCTGCTTACTTTCCAAGCTGAACTGCGAGTAGTGAAGCTCGAAACGGTGCGGATCGGTCTCCTTCACCAAAGGCCTTCTCTTCTCCCTCACGTAAATCTCTACGGCCGCCTTAATCAAATCGCTGACGGTGTTCTCCGGCGACATTACCACCTGCACAGGCCCTAAGCTCCTCTCGATCGTCACGTTTAGAAGGAGCTTCGTCATCCGGCGGTGGGTCTCCGGCGGCTGCCAAAGCTTCATGGGGAAGGAGATGAGGCCGCCGCGCCTGCGGACGAGCTCGCCGGTGCGACTCTCCGGAGGAAATGTATGAAGCGCTAGCGCCCTCCCGGAGGTCGCCGGGGGAACAGCGTGGAGGTGGTTTCGCCGGTAATGGTGTGATCGTTGAATCATGGTTTGTGGTTGCGAGAACGCGAGAACGAAAAATGTAGGGAAGGTGTTTGTGGAATTGCTTGTGTGAGAAAATGAGAGTGAGAGATATGAGAGTTGGGGTTTTGTCATAAAAAGTTGAACAGTTGAGCTGAGTGCTGTCGAGTCTGTGGACAAATGTAGAGAGGTACAGTACAGAGGCAGAGAGACCTCCGTCCAAGGTTTTCGATATGCTGCAGATAAAAAGAAGAAAGCAAGAAGCTTCCCAGAAGTAACGTATCTTCAAAAGGTACCTGGAGTTTTACTTTATTACGACGGTTAGGCTGCTGCATGCCACTGGTTCCAACTGTTAACAAAGGAAATGACTAAAACTTTTTCTATTTTCTCAACTGGTTAAACTCATCTACGTGGGACCACATTTGTGGGTTTCTTTCTACTCTAGACTCTAGTAGAGACTTGACACAACACCCTGATTAGTTAACTAGAAGATGACGCATACGTTACACAGTTACGAGAAATGTTGGAGAAATCACATTTATATATTACATTGTGTATCGTCTCTGTTAAAAAAGTGTTACATAAATGTAGCAGTATTTTCCAAAGTTACATGTTCGTGTAACCAATTGGTAAGCATAATTTGGTTTGGAATGAGGACTTAAAGATTGGTATGAGATTCCATTTTATTGTCAATTTCCATGGTAATCCTTTGTCTATAAGGAAGCCTAACTAGGCGAAGACTACTTGTCTTATCAATTGGGGACACGCGATGTGGAAGCAAACGAAAAGCACCCGTAATGGGAAAATACCTTTTAGAGTGTTCTAGTTGAAGGAGGAGACTTGCCAGCACAACAACTGGTGTTGACTTGTAGTGAAGGCACAGCCATGGCTTGCCCTCAACACAAATATTTGGTTGCCTTTAAGAGAATTTTCAATATATTATTGTTGGCTTAATTTCATTTTGGAGTCCCTACCTTGAATGGCGGAAACCTAAAAAGTTGGCAATCAACCCGTAAAAGTTGACTAATTCGTGGGATGAAATTATCACTCTCTCCTATAACCTATATGCAAGGGCGGAACTACAGCCACGACTACGGTGGGCTGTAGCCCAGTAGGTTTTGAAGACAAAAATAAACCTATATCTATATGCTCCAGTCTGGTTGGTTTAATTATTGTTTGCTTCCCTCCACAAGTAGATCATCAAAACCCATATCTATAAACGTGTAAGCAACAGGTTAGATTGTTTGCTTCTTTCCACAAGACTTTTTTTTCCTTTCTTTTTTCTGTTTTACTGCTAGACCTCCAGAAGTAGACCTGGCAAACGGGTTGAATTAATGGGTTTTGGGTCGTGTTCGTGTCAACCCGTTAAGTTAACGGGTTAACACGACACGACCCGTTAAGTTAACGGGTGACAAATACTAGACCCAAACACGACTCGTTACAATTCGCGAATATCCGACACGACCCGTTAACCCTAAGATAAATAAAAAAAAAACCAAAAAAAAAAAAAAAAAAAAAAAAAAAAAAAAAAAAAAAAGAAAAAACTAGTCTATCAGCTTCTCTCTCTACCCAGCCAGCCAACACGCAATCTCTGGCTTTTTTGAAGAACCAAAACCAACAACTCAGATAGAATCAATACCCACTAAAAGCTTCTACGTTGAATCAATAGCAAGTTTACCTTGATAGGAATTTTGAAGAAAGAGAGCCCCAAAGTCCCTTCCACCTCCGTATCAGTATCAAAGGGTATTACACCCCTAGCCAAAGCTTCAAGCAAGTAAAACACGTCGTGGATGATGGTTTGCTGGGATTGGGTGTGGGTCGGGTCGGATGGGATCGGAGCATAGTATACATAGTCTACAGACTCGCCCTTAGAGGCCATTGTTTGTTCGAGTAGAAGAGGAGAAGAGAAGAATGAGAGGAAGTAGAAAAGGAAAAGGGTTTAAGAAGAAAAAGACACGGAAAAGAAGAAAGAAAAGGGGAAGAAGAAAAGAAAATAAAAATATTTTGCAAAATTACAGAATTAACCTCCTTAACGGGTGGCTAACGGGTTAACCCGTTTTCGACCCGATCCGACCCGTTAGCTTAACGGGTGGCTAACGGGTTCACCCGTTTTCAACCCGACCCAATAAGCTCAACCTAAATACTGATAATTTCGTGCGAATTCGTGTTGTGTTAACGGGTCGTGTGCAATATTGCCAGGTCTATCCAGAAGAGGGAAATATTATTTGTTTTCAATCTATTTTTATTCTTTTTCTCTTTTTTGCGGTGTTTAATAAAATATTCTTTTCTCTCCGACCTTTTGGTGGGAAAAGGGTTTTAAAAAGGGCACAATATCTTAATCTAATTATTTATATTTTTGCACTTTGCATTTGTGAAGCTTATTCAATTGATGCGAAAAAAAAAAACAGATATATTCCAACTGCAAACATTAGATTTAACATCATAATCAAGCAAGTAAAAGAGCACACAACCTATTCATATATTCATTTTGATAATATGTATTTTTTGTTATTGCATTTAATATGTATTTTTTTCTTTATGATAAAGCTTATTAGAAATTACTTAATGAAACTATGATTTATATGAATTAATTATACTTTTATTTATTAAAACCTGCAGAAACTGTAAGTTTTTTTAATTAAAATAATAATTAGATTTAAAATTTAAAATTTTAGCTAGCCTACCCATAAAAAAAATTATGGTTCCGCCCTTGCCTATATGGACGTCCATATGTTATTATCGTATAAACGTCATGTATTTTTTACTACTTTTTTATGCTTTCTTCTCTATTTATAATGACATTCGAATGAAAAAATAACTATATATATAGGAATTCTTTAAATAATTTTATTTTAGGGACACCCACTAGAGTCCCCGAAGAAAAAAAAAAATCAACTATCCAAACCCTCCATTTTTCACATATTCATTTAGAGATCATCTTTACAAAAAATCATGCAAATTGAAAATCATTAAGACATCTAATTAATACCAACAAAATCAATGAACACGGTGCTTTAAGAAATCATTTAAATTTCAATAATATAATTGAGTAGTCAAATGATATCGGATTCAAGTGATTTTTTTGTAGAGATGATCTTTGAATGAATATTTACAAAATAGACGTTTGGATTAGTGAAATACAATGCAAAGTGAGCCCTATAAGGGTGTTCCTCAAATTAACTTATTTAATAAATGGCTCAATAGAATGAAAGATTTTTTTACGAATTTACCAAAGAGATGATAACTAAAAGTTGACAAGAAGCAAAACCAAAAAAAAACCAAACCAAAAAAAACAAAAAAAAAAAAAAAAAAAAAAAAAAAAAAAAAAAAACAAAGAGGCAGAACATTTTCAACCATAAGTATTAAGTATTAGGGTTTAGTGGAAACTCAAACATTCCTTGGCCGGTGCTAGTTCCCTTTTTATGGTCAAAAGTTAAGAATAAGATAAAGACATCCACATTACAACTCAAAAGTTTTTTCTCTTGGTTCAAACTAACGCCACGCAAATTCACATTTCTTTCGGCAGCCCATGTAGGGGAAAAAAAAAACATATGTTATATTCTGATCACCCTTTTATTTTTATATATACAATCGACACTATGGGAGGAGAGTTTTCTTCCACATACTATCAAGGTGTCATTTGGATTCGAACCTAAGATTACTGATCTGCAATTTAAGATCATTTCCACTAGGTTAGATTCTGTTGAAGAATGCAAGTCTCACATCGGAAACTTGACAAAATAAAATAAAATATATAATGAATGGTTCTACTACTAATATCACTAAAGCTTTTTGTGATAAAACCTCATATCTACTGGGCTTTGTAGGTGGTTAAGTTGATAACATTATCGGTGTTGTTAGTAATGGGCCGTTGACCCGTCTCTATGAAATTTAACAGATTCAGGGCACATAAATAAGCAATTGTACCTTGTAATTAATGAAGAAAAAGAAAATGAACAAAATTGGTATTTTCTTGTTCTTCATTTATATACATGTGAATCTTGTAATAAGGGAATCTTTACAGCATTACATAAATCAAATTCAAAAGGTAAGAAGAAAGAATGACGACAATGCATCGCATAGATGCGGTCCGGTTGACATCCACATCTAGAGGCTCTTTCTTGAGCAACATGAATAATATTTTGAGTTAATCTAGAGCAATGGTTTTTTTTTGGGTTCTTTGTACAGCTCATTTCATGCAGATTATGATTCTCCAAAGCTTATGCGTCCTCCTGATGATTTTGCCAAGTTTACGAGCGAAAAAATTCGGGAGTAAGAAGACAGGGCGTGCCAACGGTGGAGGAGAGTTTGCTCTCGCAGGAACGGCTTCAGAGGTGAAAGAAGTTGATCCTCCATTGTTGCTACTGTGATTGCTGCTGTTTTTTCGAAGATAGAAGCTTCTGCTGCCACAATCCCCAATTACTTCTGATTTATCCAAACCTATTCAATCAAACTAGTGATCAACAAAAATTGTAATCCTAGTTCGGAAAGAACAAAATCAAACACTGGTCAGTACACACACTTCTTCTCATTGCATCAGTCAAGTAAATGGTGATTTGTTATGAATCAGTCCAACATAAAATTAAAAAAAACACTTTCACCTGATAAAACAAGAAGCTCACCAAAGAGAAACTTCAATTTCTAATGCAATTATGCTGTTAAACAGACTAAATTTGAACAAAAAAATCGAACTTTTTTCACTTACTTTGAAGGCTGAAATAGGACTGATGCAACTCAAATGACAATGCCTCATCCTTATCAAGCTTGGGAGTTCGACCTTCTTTGCTATATTTGTCTACAACAAGCTTGATTGTCTCGTCCACTGTAGATCTCAGCTTAACCATGGCTCGAACCGGTCCCGGGCTTCCTTCAACGGACACATTCAAAACCACCTTTGCATCTTTCATGTATCCCTGTATGGCCAAATCTACCACATCTCAGCTCCCTAAGTTCATATTAATTTATTAAGATTAATCCATTTTAGTTTCAACTTCAAATGAACAGAGAGAAGTACAAGCAGGTCATGTAGATGATTTTGAACTGTCAAAATATTCTAAACAGTAAATGAAAATCATTATTGAAAAAAAAAGGTCCCTACAATTCAACCCAATTCAAAACCCAAAAATCCCCTTCCGAAAAACATAAAAATAAAATAAATAAATAAATAAATGAAAATGAAAAGGCATAAACAAAACTGTGTGCCATTTTGACCGTCGTACCTCGTGCTTCTTGGGGGAGAAGGGCATCATCAACGAAGGAGACGAAGCAAAGATGTCCGTACAAGTCTGAGGCCGGAACAGAACACCCTCCTCCGGCTCCGACCTCAGGTCTCGAACACGAAAACCCTCCTCCCCAAAATCGCTACCAGACGACGAGCAGAACAATATGGGCTCGGAAGAGCATCGCTTGAGAATCTTGATAGGCTTAGAGTGGTGATGATGGTGGTGCTGCCTGGGCGATCGCCGAGGTTGAGAGCTCCGTCGGTGCGGCGACGGCGAGGGTTGCGGCGACGGAGAGGGGTTCGGCGTCCTTACTTTCCGGCATCTGGTCGCCTGAGATCGTCGCCGGTGACCCCTCTCTGACATGTAAATAAATATCTAGTTGTAAAATCAAAGTATAAATAGCGGGTTGATTGAGATTTTGGAAGAAAATAAAAGTTTGAATATGGGTTGTTTGTTTATTGGGTTTTGGAAGCTTTGAGATTTGAGAGGAGAAGAAACTCAGATGGAAAATGGAAGTTCAGGGAGGTCAAGGAAGTTGGTGGGTTTTGCTTGAGAGGGAAGGGAAAGGTTCTTTGTGCTGCACAGTGTAATAACTGATTTTTTTTTATTGTCAGTCAACATCTATTTTTGATTGGTAGGTTTGTAATGTCAAAAATGCCCTTGAGGTCTTGCTTCGGTTTTTTTTTTTCCCAAACCATGAGAGAATATTATTAAAGATTCTTCTGCCTTGTGCCAATTGAGAGTGTATTTAAGGTTGGGGACGGAGGTGTTGAAGCATGAGGAATGGTGTAGGTGTGCCAAGGTCCCTTTCTCTTTGGCCATGACATGTGAGAATATAAATATATCAAGTTGTCTGGTTGCTCCACTTGTATGTTAGGATAGAGTTGTTAATGAATCGGATTTTCATATGAATTTGATGTCCCACATTCACATTATGTAAATTTAGACAGATCTTGTGACATAATTTGAAAATTTGTTAGTTCATTAAATTATCCAAACAAATTTGAATGATCTAATTCATATCCGACTCATTTACAGGTCTAAATTAGAACAGTTGCCAGAATAAGTAATTGGTGGGGGTGCAAATGGAATTTCACTGCTCTAATATGCCTAATTAAATTGCTTTCACGAGTACATGCGCACAAGATGTAAATAAAATAATAAATATTGTCGTAGAAATTGACAAACCGTCCATCCAATTAGAAGGGAACACTACCTTCCAGATTGTACCGAGCCAATTAGGCTAAAAGACGGTGACTTCAAGATTTAAAGACATTATGCACGAAATCAAATCACACTGTCATATTTTTAGGCTTTGACAAAAACACCTGAAAATTAGTCGTTATACCGTATTTGAGTGGGACATTTTATCCATTAGGTAATAATGGGTCATCTAATTAGCCTAATACACATGAGTAATTCGTAATCGGAATTTAATTCTTATTTTGATTTCGATTGTGAATTAATAAACATGTCATTAAAGAGATCTAGAGTTAGCAATGATTCACAGAGTTTGGCCAACTTGTCGAAATCATAAAATAATGTATAGGATCACATGTTTTTTTTTTAAAAAAAAGAAACATGTTTAAAATATTTAAATATACAGAGTTTGGAAGCCTTTTCTTTAAGGCCCAAACAAAACGGCCCAAATCTGGGAATACCAAATGAGTCCTCATACTTCCAAGAGTTTCAGCTTCGATTCCATGGAGCACAAAGCAAATGCTGCAACACAACTACAATAAATGGAGATGGTATAAAATATTCCTGTTTTTAAACAGTTTCTTTAGTGATTTAAAATAACAATTATTACTGTTACATAAACTCAACCAAGGAGTTAGCTGAAGATCAAGAAAATCTTACTTGTGTACCTTGCTAGGTAAAGAATTGAAGAATGAAAAGAGGAGACCTACAAGAAAAGTCTTTGCCAGCTGAGGACAGTCCACAGAATTCATCTGGTTTTCTACAGGAATTCCAACTTTTTCTGCCCAACTATTGTACATGTTGTACTTCTGAGCTTGTAATTGTAAAACAATTCAAATTGATTGCATCCAGCTACACCCAGGAATCTTGGTGAATCCTTTCTTCTCCATAACCTTTCTCAATCTCCTCGCGTCGTCCCATCTCTCAGCAGAAGCATAAATGTTGGCAAGAAGAGCATAATAACCGCTTTTATCAGGCTCCAATTTAAAGCAATTCCGAGCGGCAATCTCTCCAAGCTCAACATTGTTGTGTAATGAGCAAGCAAGAAGCAAGGCTCCCCACACCCCAGCTTGAGGTTGCATCGGCATGCTCCTTATTAGCTCAAGTGCTTTATCGAACTGTCCTGCCCTGCCTAAAAGGTCGACCATGATCCCATAATGATCGCCTGAAGGCACAACTCCATGGTCATTCATTGAATTAAAGCATCGGTAGCCTTCTTCAACCAAACCAGCATGGTTATAGGCAGTTAGTAGCCCAGTGTATGTGACCGAATTTGGGCAAATTTGGGCGCTTACCATCTCCTCAAACATCTTGGTTGCATCAACTGCCTTACCATTTATGCCGCAACCCAAGATCATCGCCGAATAAGCAACTACATCTCTCTTTTTCAAGCCATGAAACAACTTATATGCCCTTTCAATGTCTCCACATTTTGTGTACAAGTCAAGTAAAGCAGTAGCCAAATGATCATCTAATTCAATTCCATCCTTACTCATATATGTCTCAATCCATAACCCAAATTTCAAATCTCCCAGTTGTGAACTAGCAGATATAACACTCGCCAAAGTCATCTCATTTGGTTGAATATTCACCTCCCGTTTAAGTATCTGGTTGAACAGCTCAAGGGCATCCTTTGGTTGACTATTTTGCGCATAGCAAGCTATCATGGCATTAAACGAAAGCACATCTTTCTCACTCATCTGATCAAAGAGTTGACGAGCAGACTCAACATTGCCGCATTTTGAGTACCCGCTAATCATGGCAATCCAAGAAACTTTATTTCTCAATGGCATGGAATCAAAAATGCTTCGTGCCGATTCCATTCTTCCACAATCCGCAAAACCACTAATCATTGCATTCCAAGAAGCTGAACTCCTCTCTGGAATTTGTTGAAACAAGAAAAACGCCTTGTCCATATTTCCTATTCTTGCATACCCCGAAACCATTGAATTCCAAGACACAACATCCTTATTCGGAATCTCATCAAACACCACCTGAGCCTCTTCCATATTCCCAGCTTTCAAATACCCAGATAAGATAGAATTCCAAGAAACCACATTCTTCTCTGTCATTCCATCAAACACCTTCCGTGCAGTTTCCATGTCACCCAGTTTAGAATACAAGTCCACAAGGGCAGTTTGTACATAAACACAGCCGCAAAACCCATACTTATGAACCTGGGCATGGATTGAAGTCCCGCACACCTTATGTACAATCCTAGCACATGCCCTTAGAGCTGAGGACACAGCAAAACTAGTTGGGCACAGTCCTAGCCTTTTGATTTGAACGTAAAGAGACAAAGCCGTTTTGTACTGGAAATGCAGAGAGAAGAAACGAATGGCACAACCCCATGAAAAGTCATCTGGGTTTTGCAAATTGTGAAGGATTTGGTGCACATACTGAGCTATAGTTCTAGAGTAAGTGAAATTTGAGTGGAGGACATGGCGGAGCAAGAGGCTCTGAAGCTCGTTAAGGCCATTGGTGATAATGGGTGCATGGATTTGTTTTAGTTGGTTCAAGGTGAGACTTTTATTCAGTAAAAATACAAGATTTGGACCATTTGGATTCATGTTCTTCTTCTCTTCATGCTTTGGAAAAGGAAGTGGGAAGAACTGATCAAGTTTTCAAAACCTTCTCCAAGTTCAGGTGGCAAATTTTGCACTTTCAGATAGTTGAGCTTTGATCATCTTCTTAGACAAGACATAAGAGTACCAAAGTTGAGTTGATGATGGGCTTGGGCCTAAAGGCCCAGTAAGGCCCAGTGTTGTGAAGTTGGATGAAGTGGTCCAAATGATTACCGAGATTTTCTCTCTTTTTGTTTTTAACTAAGATTTCTGATATTCTTCGAGGCATTTGAAGATTTTTTTAATTTTTTAATTTTTTAATTTTTTATTATTAAAAACTAATGACTAATGACTTTAGGGAGCTTCACTGATATACCCCAAATAAGGGCTGAAATTATTTAAAAAAAACTCCACATAGAATGCATTTTAGAAACACACCAAAAACTCATTTACTACATAAGAAATTGGTGTTTAAGTTTCTATAAATTACGTGATTGTCATTGATCAACTTAAAAAAAAATTCTAACACAAAAAATTTAAATACCACCCAAAACAAACCCAGCCCAATTTTATAAAAAAAAACCCAAACAATTCATTACAAACAAAACGTCTTGAAAACCATAGCTTCATTAATGTGTCATGTTGATTAATGACTGTAATATTCCACACCTTTACTGTCATGTTGATTAATGGTTGTAATGTTCCAGTCTAGGGTAGTAACACTGCTAATTTGCTGTCATGTTGATTAATGGCTGTAATGTTCCAGTCTAGGGTAATAACACTGCTATTTCCCTATGACATCCTATTTCTAATGCATGTTTACCCATGTAATGTTCAAATCTAGGGTAATAACATTGCTAGTTTACTGTCATGTTGATTAATGGCTGTAATGTTCCAGTCTAAGATAATAATATTGCTAGTTTACTATCATGTTGATTAATTGCTGTAAGATTCCAGTCTAGGGTAATAACACTGCTAGTTTTTTATGAAATCCTATTTATAATGCATGTCTACCCCTTATAATGTTCCAGTCTAGGGTAATAATATTGCTAGTTTCCTATGAAATCCTATTTCTAATGCATGTCTACCCCTTGTAGTGTTCCAGTATAAGGTAATAACACTGCTAGTTTCCTATGACATCTTATTTCTAATGCATGTATACCCCTGTAATATTCTAGTTTAGGGTAATAACACTGCTAATTTTATATGACATCCTATTTCTAATGCATGTCTACATTTGTAATGTTCCAGTTTAGGGTAATAACACTGCTAGTTTACTATCATGTTGATTAATGCTTGTCATGTTGCTATTTCTAATACATGTCCAACAAAGAAAAGATGAAGAAAAAACAAACTAGACCAACTAAAAACAAGTTGAGCTCAAATTGTTAATACTATTATGTCATAGAAGTACGTTGTTAATACTCTGTAATAAAAGTACATTGTTAATATTTTGTCATAGAAGTACATTGTTAAACAAAAATAAGACCCATAACTGAAATAGTAATAAACAATAAATCGATCATCAAATCTTAAAATACATTTCGAAAATCAACTAAAATCCGAAGAGAAACACATAATTGAAGCAAAAAATCAAAAATCTCAAGTCCAAACCAAACAATGACGACAACAATGATGACGACAACGATGACGATGACGTGGCGAAGAGGAGTAGAGCTTGAAGATGAAGAGTAGAGCTAAGAGCATTTGATCAAGGTTCGCTCGAGGTCTTGAACAATCCGGAAAAAAAAAATCAATTGAAGCACGATTTTAAAACATGAAATCGAATGTGAAATATTGAAAATTGTAGATTAAAGATGAAGAATATAGTTGGACTTGAAACTAAGCTTCAATGGAAGCTCCTCTTGCTCCAACACCAGAGAAAGCTCCAACAAGAAAGGAGAAAATAAATCTGATTTGGTTTTTTGGCAGATTTGGTTTTTTTTGGCAGATTTGTGCAGATATGGACAGATCTGATTTGTCTCTCTCAAATCCATAATACAAGGGCAATATAGGTATTTTACACACACAAATAAACTAAAAAACATCTATTATTTATAGTTTTTAAATAATATAGGGTTTCTTTATAAGATTATGTCTAAGATTGAATATATAATTAAATTTCTAAAGAATTTATTCATCAATAGAATGTAAAGAACGCAAATCATCCTGAAGGTAAGAGTGAGCTAAGCCCTTCTTCCATCTAGTAACATATCTCATTACAAGATAAAGTAAATTTGGCTAATTGGTGAGCCACAAAATTACATGTGCGAGGTTGGTGTTGCAAGGATACGAATACGAAACGACAGAGTAACTCTTTCAGCTCTTCTATTGACTCTCCTTCCATGCTCATGTCAAATTCAGTTCGGTTTACGACGTTATTCACCTCCAAGCAATCACTTTCAATAATCAGCTTTGTGAATCATGCATCTATTGTCATTTGACAACTTGCAATCATAGCCAAGGCTTCAAACGCATTAAGGGAAAGACAACCAATTACCGGTTTAGCCATGGCACCCATTAATTCCCCATTGAAATTTCAGACTACAAGTCCTAACCCCATCTTTCTATCAGCCACATAACATGCCTCATCAACATTTAGTTTCAGTAAGTTACCCTCAATAGGTTTCCAACAAGAAGTAGCTAGCAACATGGCGAGGTAACCTAGGAGATGGACATAAATCAACAAAATCCTTATAAAAGGCTAGTGATGTGTCATCAACTGCTAAAAGGTCTCTTATTACACCTCCACGGAGACTCTTATTTCTCTCAGCCCAAATTATCCAAGCTATCACCGTGAATAAACATAAATCCTCATCCTGGAAAGTGGTACGAACATGGTAAAAGAGATCCATGAAAGAACATACCTGTTGTGTCTCAACTAGTTGACAAAAAGTGGAACACTTTCAAACCCGTCGTGCAAACTTACAAGACCACAACGCATGAATAACTCGCATGTCACATGAGGATATCACATGTCAACGTGCAAGAATAACTCGGCATGGAATAACATTTTTTAATGCACGCCAAAGGAAAAATCGTGCCTTATGCGGTAATTTCAACTTCCAAATATGTTTTCACACGCTTTGTATAGTTGGGTAACTAGACTCCCCTTGCCTTAACCTCCCTTTCTATCTTTGTTTTTCAAAGCAAGCACCCAATATCCACTACTCACTGCATATAAAATAGTTATAGCATCATGGGCCAAAAAACATCGATCAATCAACTCAATATTCCATTCACCTAATGGTGTCAAAAGATCGCATACTTATTAATATGAATAGTTGGAAAGGACGAGACCATGAACGTAGTTGGTGTCAGTAGCCACCTATCAACATAAACACCCACTGACTCACCTTTCTCAATTCTCCAGAGGAGGCTCTTCTTCAACAAATCTTGCCCTTTTATCACACTACGCCATAAATATGAGGAACCATGACCTACATAGACTTCCAAAAAACTTCTCATAGTATAATACTTTTCTCAGAGAAATTGAGTAATAAGAGAATGTGGTACAATATGAATTTTCCATGCCATTTTAACCAACTTGGCTTGGTTAAAATCTTGTGTATCTCTAAACCCCAAACCCCATCCTTGTCCTTGCATAAATCCTCCCATGTTAGCCAATGAATTCCCTTATCCCTTCCCATATGTGTCCATCAAAATTGAGCAATCAAGTTTTGGATTTCCTTACAAATGCTCACTGGCAACTGAAAACATCTCATGATATACGTAGGAATCGATTGTGCAACCGCCTTGATCAAAACTTCCTCACCTGCAATTGAAATAAGCTTTCCCTTCCAACTTTGTAGCACCGTTCTCAATTTGTCTTTCACCTTTTAGAAAATTTGGCGTTTATTCCTACCAACCATTGTTGATAAACCAAGATACTCCTCATGAAAGGGAACCACAGGGTTTGGAAGAATAAACTCAACAATACCATGTAATGCAGGTTCTAAGTTAGGACCAAAAGTAATAGCTGATTTCAACAAGTTAATTTTTTTGGCCCAATGCTCTTTCATATAAAGTAAAGATCTTTTTTGTTGATGCCAAAAATGGGTATCAACTTAGATAGGTGTGAAGTGGTGGATGATGGGTGAAGGTGATGACCTTCAGTATGTGTGTGAAGATTTAGGCAAGCGATAAATATACAGAAGACAAGATATATGTGGTTTACCCTTAATGAATGGGCTACATTGTCGGAGAATGATGTTCTCATTATGATAATGTTTGTTTACATTTGTATAAGGGGATTAGACCCAAAGATAAAGGGAAGAAGGCTCAAGGCCTAAGGTACAAAGCCCAAGAGTCCAAGGCCCAAGGGTCAAGATCCAAGACCCTTTTCTAAGTGGAGAGTAGTATTCTTTTATATGTGAGGGGAGTCTCCACCTCTTGTAATCTTCCAATGTGGGACTCTTTGCCTTACTTAGAGCAATGACTTATGGTAAGGCTTCTTTGGCTAAGGTGATGACCTCTCAAAGCATGACATGTGGCTGATCTAGCCTAGCTAGTTGCTCGGTTAGTAACGGTATCAACATCTTTTAAAGCTGTTCACCCTGTTTTGCGTTTACTCCTGAGATGGAAGGGCAAAGTTCCCCACTGCCCTGCAAACCATTGACTGGTCAACAAGTTAGCTTTCTTTAGTGTATGAGTGTGCCACTGCTAGCAATGAAGATTCTAGCAGACTTCTTCTAGAATAGATAACTTGCGCCCCCAGTTACTGATTTCTAAAACAAACGATTGTGAATTTGGGTGAGGAATATCTCCCAAGTAAGTTCTTTTCTTGCCTCAGACTGGTGAGGACTTTCACAATTTATCTCAGTATAAAAACGGTTGTTCTTGCCAGAATAATTGATAGAAATTGGATTGTTTTAGGCAGAACTGTCATTTATAAAACTATAAATATACATGTCAACATTGGAAAGACAAAAAGACAGCTGGAACTCCATCTCTGTCTGGATATAAGACTGTGATTCAGGCCGGACTGGATATGTCTGGGCTGAATTGAACTGTCAACAACTTCAACTGCTAAGCTTCAGCTACAAATCGATACCAAAGTTCAAGTTTGGCAGAGCTTTAATCTACTTCAAGCTTTGGGAGGCTTTTGAGCGGGCAAAACTGCAGCTTCTTCAGTTTGAATAGGCAGAAGTGGCTGTTCTTGAGGATTTAGTGAGCTAGAGACTGCACTGTGAGATTTGTTAAGGTTTTCATGTTTGGAAAAACTCAAACTCTACTTGTTTTAGCTTTGTTGAACCAAATTTGTAACGAGAGAGATCTCGTTTTGAATGGTTAAGTCTGAACTTTGGGAAATCTGATCTAAAGCTGGTTTTTCTTGGAGTTCAAGTGAGCTTTTGGTTGATTTTTGAGTTGTTTGTTTGATTGATGAAAAATGATTTTTTTTGCCATGTTCACTCCCTCTTACATTTATAAGAAAATGGTTTGGAGTAGGGTTTCTTTCTTTTAATAATGGGTGGCAAAAAAGATCTTTCAGTTTTAAAATATAAAGAAGAGAAGGCTCTTAATTAACCATGGCAGATAGGTTTTCAACGGTCAGTTCTTAAGATCACTTCCCCGCTTTCTTGAAAGATAACATAACCCTTCTTTAATTTCTAACTGCCCCTTTGTGAGAGCTCGAACCGTGATGGTTAGTTTGATTTTCCAGATGAACAACTCTCTGTCCTCCTACTTATCTCCTTTTTGAAAATATGGCATGCATATCTCTTGAAAGGATAGTGCCTCCTTAGAGTGAAATCAATATTTTTGAATATATAAGAAGGATTTTGATCTTCTGGTGGCAGAAATTTAGAGAAGCCCTTTTGCCACTAACCTGCTTTAATGAATTCCCAATCAACTCAGTTGAGTTTGTTGACTTTTCCATTTTGGTAGTCACGTGGGTTTTGAAAATGGGTCTCTTCCTTTTTTTTTAATCATGTTGGGCCCATTCTGATTTGTCTGGAGCCCAAAGGTGACTGCTTTTCTTTTGGGGGCCCAAGTTTGCTTGTCACATTTTGATGAGTCTTGGGCTGGGCCTCTCTGGACTTTGGGCCCAAACTACTTGAGTCATGTAGCTTTTATTCTGGGCCTTCTCCGTGTTGGGGTGGGCGCATTCAATTTAGGCCCAAGCAAAAGCCAAATTGAGTTGGAGTTGCATGAGCAAACAATAGGCTATCTTCTACAAAGAGTATATGTGTTATGGAAGGTGTGTTCTGTGCTACTGACACACCACAAATAACTCCATGCGTTTTAGCCAGTTTCAAAATACTTGAGAAACTTTTATTACATAATAAAAATAAGGGCTAACGACAAAAGACACCCGGCTGGTTTGGGGTGATTCTCAATATGGACTCTAGGGTATCAATTTTATCAATTTACACCCTTACGTTTGCAACATCGTCCAATTTCATCATTCCGTTAAGTTGATCGTGTAGTCAATTGTTAAATGCTGACGTGTCCACTGTGGGACCCACCTACTAACAAAAAAATTTATTTAAAATAATAAAATAACATTCTAACAAAACAAAAAAAATTTAAAAATCAACTTAAAAAATCCCAGCCCCTCTTATTATCAAATATCCATCCTCCAAAAAAAAAAAAAAAAAAAAAAAAAAAAAAAAAAACACGCTTTGAGAAGGCGAGATTGATGTGCTTGATTCATTGATGGCTGAGACATCAAGACTAACGAACTTAGCAATGGATTTTGCAATGGATCTTATACACACACCATTGCACAAACAGATTGGACGATATTTTTTGGCAAATTGTGGGTTTGGTATTGTTATGGAGTTACAATAGTATTTCAGTTACAATAGTTAATCCTACTAATGATTGGAAATGGTCAGTTGTCAGTTACGTTGTTATTAGGCCATAACTCCATATTTATGTTTGTGATAATGACTTGTAACTGTAGATTATTCTCTACAGACTATAATGATCATATGAATAATATAAGGGAAAATCAGTTTCTACATGGTATCAGAGCTAATGGCTAACGCCAATTAGCGATCCTTCATTTGCCAACATTGAGAGTCGTTGGCTCTCCTCGCCCAAAAGGGTGTTTGCTTATGTATAGTTCTCCATCTTCTCCTCCCTTCTATAATCAGTAATTTTTTTTCTCTCTCTACCACTGTCATTTCTTTTTATTTTTCAACGCTCCCTGTCAAGCTCTCTGCTCATTTATGAGCCTTTATCTTTCACTCTCTCCGTGTCTAGCTCTCTGTTGACGATTGAGCCATATCTCCTTCTTATGCTCTTTATTGAGGATTGAGCCTTCTCCTCCTTGTTTGTTGTCATCGCTCGCCAAGCCTTATCCTAGCTGCCCTTTGTCTCTGTCCAGCTGTGCTTCACTGTCGTTAGTCCCTTTGCACAACCGTTGTCTATCAAAACTCCCTCTTGAACTCTCTCTCTGTGGTTATATCAAGACTCCCTCTCTTTCTCTTTGGTGTCATGAGGAACCACCACCCACCCTCCCCCTTTAATTTTTCCAATATCTATCTCTTCTCTACATGCATGCTTCCCCTTCATTCCCTTAAGCTTCATCTCTCTCTCCTGCCCAAACACTCGTGCTCCTCACCTTAATGCTTTCCTTCCTTTATTTTGTTTTTTATTTGTTTTAATTAGAAGCCTGTATCTCCTCTTTTAAATAAATATAAAAAAACTTCCTTACGCTTTTCGGTCCTCTCCCCCCCCCCAATCTGTTTTCCCATGTGATCTCTGCAGCTTGCTCCCGCCACTGTCTCTATTCCCCCTTTTCATTCTTTTAGTAATTGTTTGTGTTGATTCTCATCCCATATTTTATAGTCCTTTTTTTTTTTCCTATCCTCTTCTCAAAGATGAATATGTGTTTTTTTTCCCCCTT